ATAATTCAAACTCATTCCATCTTGTTATACATCATAATTAATTGTTCTTTTTCACTGTATTCTCTTACCTGAAAACCTTTTAACCACATTTTAATCTAGTAGTCAAAGCTACTACGAGTTTTATTTATTTACTTAATATACGCTTGTGTGTTCCACTGAAAACCGTTAGGCATTGTTGAGTTCTATATCCATATACATCGCAACTAGTTTATTTCCCTTTTTGTCAAAATCGCTTCCGTGGTGCATAACTATGGAGCTTCTGACGCATTGATTATATCTGGAACAAACTTAACGCGGGCGTCTTTCAAGAGCACCATTTACACCAAACGCCATCCATATGCCCTTTAAAACACCCACGAATCTCTTGGTGTTATATTGCATGAATACTTACCAACACAATTCTAATACACCGATGATGAGTTTGGATCCGATGAGCCTTAATGAGGGTCACATTGTAGTCAGGATGCCATTCTTGAAACAGATCGTAGAAACTGTACTCAAAGTATATTACTAACACATAAACCTTATTATCAACTCGCTGGTACATCTGCACGAATATAGTGCTGTGTATCTAACAACTCTGCTTGAGAGGCGTCTTATCTCTAAACTAATGTTGTAAATGGCTGATCATGCCTGTAAAAATGGCATGCACGTACCCTGTCAGAAATATGCATAATATTATCGTTATTATTAAGCTTCTATTCTATACGTTGAAAAATGGAGGCGATACGATCATAATGCTACATTTCGCTCGTAATGGCTTTGATCATAATGAATCATGCCTATACTGTACCAATAATCCAAACCCAGATAGATTTAAATTGAGGGTATGTGTCACTCACAACATTGGATAATATTCACTGTAATTTCTCCTTTATTTTGAAGGATGTTTAGATGATCCTGGGTCCATGAAATTCCCATCCTATGAGTGCTTTCTGTGCTTCTTTGGACAGTATCAGAGCAACTCCCTAAGTGTGTGGAGCGTTTTTTTCTTTGTGACCCGAGTATATCAGCATCTCTCCTGAATCTGTCGTTTTCTGTCCAGCTTGGATCCAATGGGTTTCACTGATTCCGAGAACCACCAAGTTGTATCTTCTCACATCTCTAGCTATTTGACTGGTCCTCCCAGTTTCCCACATTGTCCGGACATTTGGCATGCCTGTATTGATTGTTGCTGTGGTTGTTAGAAGGGGCATCGGCCTCATGGCTTCCGAAGAATTCTGATTTTCACTATGAGGCGTTATAATTCTTCTGAATCAAGATCCTTCAACTATTGGGGGAGAGTTTAATTTGTTTAGTTTGGTTAGCGTTTTTTAGAAAGGTTTACTACGGGGTGTGGTCACCGACCCTATACCCAACCCTCCTCCTTTATCCGGTTTGGTACTGACAGTAACCCCAGAACATCAACATGCGGAATCATGTTTTGACCAAAGCATTTAAAATGCGAAGACCGAGAGGCTTCATTCTCAATGCATTTTTCAAAATGGATCTAGAATCATTAATAATATAATACATGCAAGATCTATCGCTGAATTCTGTTCGTCATTATCTTCTGATTTATGCCTATCTGACATACTGAGGATGGAATTAATACAACGGAATTTCACTAGCAAAATGCTTAAAATCGATGCACCCATTGGCTGTTGTTCCCGAAACCAGACCCTAGTACTTGAACCCCACTTTCTTGACTTTTTATTAATTTCATGTCTTTACATATTGCTCTATTTATAATTTATATATTCCTTTACTTTTCCGCTCACTTCAGTAAACATTTGTCCGCTATTACACTCTTCTGAATGTTTGTGCTTTATTTATAACCTTTAATCTGTATTATTGTCACTTGAATCACTGAGTCGATGTCTCACCTGCAGTTTATACTTTGTAACCACTTGACAAGCTTGTAAAGTAGTACCTCTAGAAATGATGTTTACCAAAAGCATATGAAGCAGAAAGCATCGTGTGGGACATAATATTTTATCTAAATATAATCTTGAAAAAGTCCAACATCACAGAAGGAGGGAGGGTGGAGTTTCTGACCAGCAAGCTTTGATGGTTAGGGCTATGACTTCAATCCCTCTATGTTTATAGGCTCAAACGTTTGTTTTTTGGACAGCTTATGACTGAGGATGAGGCAACCAATCAGTGATTCTGGAATTGTTCTCCTGTGTCCGGTACTCAGAGTCATGTTTCAAATTTTACGTTGTATTCGCTATTATACCAAGGTAACTAAAGACATGCAAACTCAGTCTTTTGCAGTATGATTTGATGAATGAAACCATATGATAAAACTAACTTCGATTTTCTCTGCATAATTCAAACTCATTCCATCTTGTTATACATCATAATTAATTGTTCTTTTTCACTGTATTCTCTTACCTGAAAACCTTTTAACCACATTTTAATCTAGTAGTCAAAGCTACTACGAGTTTTATTTATTTACTTAATATACGCTTGTGTGTTCCACTGAAAACCGTTAGGCATTGTTGAGTTCTATATCCATATACATCGCAACTAGTTTATTTCCCTTTTTGTCAAAATCGCTTCCGTGGTGCATAACTATGGAGCTTCTGACGCATTGATTATATCTGGAACAAACTTAACGCGGGCGTCTTTCAAGAGCACCATTTACACCAAACGCCATCCATATGCCCTTTAAAACACCCACGAATCTCTTGGTGTTATATTGCATGAATACTTACCAACACAATTCTAATACACCGATGATGAGTTTGGATCCGATGAGCCTTAATGAGGGTCACATTGTAGTCAGGATGCCATTCTTGAAACAGATCGTAGAAACTGTACTCAAAGTATATTACTAACACATAAACCTTATTATCAACTCGCTGGTACATCTGCACGAATATAGTGCTGTGTATCTAACAACTCTGCTTGAGAGGCGTCTTATCTCTAAACTAATGTTGTAAATGGCTGATCATGCCTGTAAAAATGGCATGCACGTACCCTGTCAGAAATATGCATAATATTATCGTTATTATTAAGCTTCTATTCTATACGTTGAAAAATGGAGGCGATACGATCATAATGCTACATTTCGCTCGTAATGGCTTTGATCATAATGAATCATGCCTATACTGTACCAATAATCCAAACCCAGATAGATTTAAATTGAGGGTATGTGTCACTCACAACATTGGATAATATTCACTGTAATTTCTCCTTTATTTTGAAGGATGTTTAGATGATCCTGGGTCCATGAAATTCCCATCCTATGAGTGCTTTCTGTGCTTCTTTGGACAGTATCAGAGCAACTCCCTAAGTGTGTGGAGCGTTTTTTTCTTTGTGACCCGAGTATATCAGCATCTCTCCTGAATCTGTCGTTTTCTGTCCAGCTTGGATCCAATGGGTTTCACTGATTCCGAGAACCACCAAGTTGTATCTTCTCACATCTCTAGCTATTTGACTGGTCCTCCCAGTTTCCCACATTGTCCGGACATTTGGCATGCCTGTATTGATTGTTGCTGTGGTTGTTAGAAGGGGCATCGGCCTCATGGCTTCCGAAGAATTCTGATTTTCACTATGAGGCGTTATAATTCTTCTGAATCAAGATCCTTCAACTATTGGGGGAGAGTTTAATTTGTTTAGTTTGGTTAGCGTTTTTTAGAAAGGTTTACTACGGGGTGTGGTCACCGACCCTATACCCAACCCTCCTCCTTTATCCGGTTTGGTACTGACAGTAACCCTAGAATAGCTATAAGCGTAGTTGTGGTTTTAGATACAGACTATCGAAGTACGTTTCTTCATTGAAACAGTTAGTTGTTTAATTGCGACCATAAACACAAATGAAAAACCGCAAATAACTACCTGAATCGTCATTGATTATGTTTTTTCTTTGACTGTGAAAGTATTAAAATCTTCCGATTATTTGCAGTGATACTGTATGACGGTTACTCACTGACCGTATTGTTCATTCCACCGGCATAAGACTTCTTTGTATTTCTTTCTAACGGAATGGTTGCACAGGCTATGGGATTTTTCATCGTTGTGTTCCTCTTCTAAAAATCAGTTTTTCATATCAACCCTTTTCGAAGTTCTAACTTTAAACATTTTAAAATATACTCATCTATATCGTAACATGTTCCAGGAAAAACTTGATGCCGACTAGATTTGAGTGTCGTAAATTGCTACCCACGTAAAGAGCTGATGGCTAGACAATTTAATTATGAGGTTATTATCACCGTAATTCTTCTATTATTAGTGCTTCTTTACTTGACAATAACAATAATCACTCTTGGTCTGTAACCTTAAAACCTCAGCATGTTTTGCCTAGTGTAGTCTAGGATACAATAATGGTTACTCGATGTATTATCGACTTGTCAGAATCTTAACGGTCGCTTACAAAATTTCAGTCGGCATTGTTTGTTCAGAGTAGGCAGGATTACTGTATCTCTGTACTTAATTGACTCATCACGAAATCGTCAGTTTACAGTACGTTGTATAGATATTAATGGTTTAAGTAAACTTTAGAAATTTACGTAACTGTAAACTGACGAAAAAAATCTTAGAATTTTATCTGAATGTTGTGCGTTTGTTATCATAGGTCTTTATTCACTAATGTTAACTACAATACATGAATTACTCTCGTTACAATCCTGGATATTAACAAACACCAAATTGCCGCCCTTCATCAAAACATTTGATTCATATTATATGTTATCAACGTAAATAAAACTCGATCACAATCACTTACGTAAATAATCGTATTTATAAAGTTTTATGGATGAATTAGTTCTATAAAGTAATTCAGACAAGTTAAACCTCATGTTTCTAATGTCTTTAAAATAGTTTTAAAGAGTCCATTCTCATATATTCACTGCTATGCGATTCTGAACGATTCAAAGTTTTATAAGTTGCCTTTATTATTAACTGCACTCTCGACTGTGCTTGTATTATTTAGATAATATGTATCTTGTTTATCTCTATTTTTATGCAAATAATTCTCTGACTTTTGATGAACTTGTAATTACTTTGTTTTGTAGATATTCTTCTGCAACCCATGAGTTCTCGTGAAAAGTATGTATTCTACAAAGACAGACAAGAATGGGATGATGTTAATCCGATTCCTCAGGATGATGGAGGTCGGAACATTGTAAATATTGCATATTCTGAAGAATTTGTTGATGCACATGACTATTTTCGTGCAGCCTTAATGAAGGACGAGCGTAGTGAGCGGACATTTTCACTAACCTCTGACATTTTATTGTTTAATCCCGCCAACTACACAGCTTGGGAGTACAGAAGACGGATCATCGAGGAAATTTCACCTGACCTAAATGGTGAGATGCGTTTCGTTGGTGGGCTTATTGAAGATTATTCAAAAAATTACCAGGTGAGCGCTTTAATTGCGAATAATACAATGGTACTAATCACGTTATGAAAATCTGTCCATTTAAATGAAGAAACAGGGTAGGGTATATTTTATGTAATCATCGTTTCATACACTTCAAATATGCAGTATATTCTAGGTCACTAGGAATGCAACTGACAAACTGTTACATATATAAGAAATAAAATTCTCAAGGTCATCAGATAGTAAAAATTAACTACAAAAGGATTGTAAATCACTTACACGCTGATGCTTAGAAACTATAAAAGTCGTAATTATTTCATCATAAACTAGTTTTATATCAATTTGGCATCCTAATTGTCACGAAGTGGCGAAAAATTAAAAATGTGGAACTCTGGAAGGTATTCTCTGGATTGTTTAGTAGGTAGATTTTTAATGAGCATTTATTAAAAATTCAGTTTTTGGTATTTGGATATTATCTTAATTGTAATCCTTTATTCGACTCATTAACTGGTTCTATCGCTTTTGCCGTTCCTAAATTACAGTAAATTAATCCTAAACCTGTCACCTAGATTTAGACTACAAATGTCCCAGTTATGTACTATAGTTTATTATTCTTGGTGCATCGTGGTCTTTTATTGTATGTATACAATCACATGAATTTGTATGTCGAGGTTAGACGCAGGGTATTAGGGAATGATGGTAAATCAGTTGATGAGGTTATGAATCTTCATCGACTGAGATGGGTGGGCCACGTATTACGTATGCCTGAACACCGATTACCACGACGTGCAATGCTAACCGGGGTAGGGGATGGTTGGAAGAAAATTAGGGGCGGCCAAACCAAAACGTGGCATCAGTGCCTGAAGTCACTAACTTCTAGTCTGAGCCATGTTGGTAGATGGAGACTACTTGGTTGGGGTCCGCGTGACTATCGTAACCAATGGTTGGAGACTCTTGGTGACATGGCTCAGAATCGATCACAATGGCGTCGGTGTATACACTCCCTGTCTTCCCTTAAACTAAGAGACTAAAATCACTTCATTCTTTCTGTCTACGAACTAATTCTTTCTTCCTATACTATATCCTTATTGCAACCTTTGACCTAACCACTCCTATGAATCCGGTGTTCATCTTGCTGTGCTAATGAGGTATGGCAACCTGGACCGATGCACATATGTGCCTGGTCCTACGTTGTAGCTGACTGGCTGACTGACTGTATGTCTGAATAATACAAGACGACAAGAGGTAGATCAAAGAATTGAGCTCAATTCTTTGTTCTTGCTGTATTCAAGATAGTAAAGAAAACTAAGTGTATGAAATTTCACAGTAAGGGGTATTTGATTAACTGTTAGTCAGCCAGTTTACTAAATGGAGGTTTCTGAATGAGTGAGAAATTCTCTACGGAGTATTCAGCAAATTATTAGCTTATTCATTCTTAGCTGAACTTAAACAAGAAATTATAGTACTTTTTTGTTCAACTTGCTTATACGAATCGTTATGTTAATTTCACTATTTAACCAACTCAACAACTCGTCTCCACTGAACGCTCTGTACTGTTTAAACGGTCGCTAAATGTTTGATTTTTGGAACGTTGTCATCGACCATGAAATCTAAATCAGCCTTTCTGAAGTAATTAAGCCTTGCGGCCCTCAACTCTCGCACTTTGGTAGAGATCGAATAACAGATAGATTTGTGTATGTCTTTAGAAAGTCTTGGTATGTGTACTTTTCATATCTGAGATATTCATTCCACTTCGCTCTCTATTTGTCGACTCAAAAACTTTGTCTCACTTGGGTGTGTGGGGAGACAATGTGAGATCAGTGTCCAGTCTCGTTAGTGTCAGTATCACATCGCGCTATAACAGGGGGAGTACTAACCGGTTAGATTCTTATGGAAAGTTGTCTGTATGTTATTATATAGAAAGGCTCCACCAAGACGAAAAGAAACGAGAATGTGGAACGATGTCTTCCCGTAATCTTCACTTACACACTGATAGGTTTTATCCAAAATGCAATAAGAAATGAGCTTTATCACTAACCGCCGACAAAATCATGTAGTCTGGTTTTAGTGAAACAGCCTATGAATCTGATAGGACGCCAATTATTAAGGTTCAGAGGCGTCTAGGGGGGCAAGAAGAGATTTTCGCGAAACAGTTCAACGAGTCTGTTGCCACAGAAACGTCTATCAGGCTGTCCTGTCTCGCGGCCTTTGACTACAGGTTGAGCCATCGAAGTAAAGGTCCTCAAGTATTCATATTTCTTGAGAGATTTTGATCTTGAGTATGCAGATAGCATTGTCTCACTATGTAGTGATACACAGTATCCAAATCGTGCGTTATCAGTTTGAAATTAATGTCAGTCAGTCTAGTTTTCACCTTTTAAACGTAAAGTACTCCCGTAAAACTGACACCTGTTTGTGCGTTATTGTGGACCGCGAGGTGGCTACTCTAATTTCTACCGACTGACCAACTTCAGATATCCCAGTACGACCCCAATACTGTTCCCAGTCTCCAATATATCAGAACAAGAACCGTAGATGAAAATTGTTTCTGGGGTCAGGAGAAGAATAAGAATTTACAGACAAATGCATATTTATACAGTTAGGACTACCATAAATATTGACCAGTAGGAAAATGACACGTGAAATAAATATCGACCAATAGGAAAATGACACCATTTCACGTTCAAGGATAGTATTAGACTTAACAGGATAATGTTTGGGATATTTTTCTGAATATGCCAACATACGTACGCTCGCTCTTTGTGGTGGATGGTTGGTAATGGTTGATAGGTTCATGCATCTGGGTAGTTGTGCAAATCTTACTGGTTTGATAGCAGATAAGATCAGTCAAAGTTAGAGCGGCTTATCCCAATCTATACCATCTTTGATGCCGTCTTGTTGAAGGTTTGGTTTACAATGCGTCGATGAGAGCAATTATCCTCTCTTGTGGAGTCTGGCCCGTTCGAGCTGAAGATGCTAACGAGATATTTCATACATGTTTATTGAGATTGTTTTGGCTGATTATATTTGCTTGACGGATTAAGATACCATAAGTTGTTGTATTACATGTAAGTGGAAATCTTACATGTGTATGTTAATTGTTTCACTTATAATTTTGTTCTCATCCTACAAAATTCGACAAATACGTAGAAAACTCAGTATATCAGAATGAATTATACTTTTCTTAATATAACTTTGTGCTACACTGGCATCTAGAATTTATCTAAAGTACGAAAATATATTCATACTGGCTTCCTCAAATGTTCATTAAAATTACTATTCGTCTTACCTTTGACCTTGGTCAACATAACCTTAGTTCGAGTATTGATGTACTCATTTCGATCTTGTTATCCTTTAGCAATAATAACTTAACATATGGCACTTTGAACTTGCAATCAAGATTTCATAAATCTACTGATCCGTCCAATTAAGGTACTTATTGAATAGTATATAGAACAATGATTTAATATATTTGTTTTGCAACACAGAGGTGAAATTTTATCTTAGTTGCCAAACAGAAAGTACTCACGATTTCACATGTATACTTATTTGTCACTTATGTTGGTGTCTTCCTCGATTAATAGAAAAACGATATAATGAACTTATATACAGACAGCCAACCTCTGTAGAATACGTTTAAATGACACCTGCTACTGGAGAACCTCGGACAAAATTTTTATATTCTTAAACTTATATATTCGCTTTTGCACTTAAGTATTCTCAACATCACTTTTTTATTATTTATTTAAACACAAATATTGTTAAAAAGGGGTACCAAAATACATATGCTCCACACAATAAAAAAATGAGATAGTGAAGACAGAGATAAAGAAATGTGAGTATAATAAGTGAGGAATATACAAATGAATAAAAATGAGTGACTGAGAACAAAAAAGGAATAATAGTTGGAGAAGCAGTCTATTTTACAACCAAAAAGTATTCTTTTAATTTTCCGAAGCCGCAAGAGATTTAAATCGCCACTTTCATAGCGTTCTGCATATGTAGCCAATGTGTATCCATCCTTTTCATTGAGTTAGTAAGTAGCATTGAAAATAGCTCAGTCTGATATTTACCTTCAACAGAAGCTTCAGTCAAATTGCTTACATCAGTCCGTTTAGGACTATGAACCTGTTGACCACTAAGACTTAAGATTAGATTAGCTCAAGCAAGAGCGCAATCAGAGTAACTTAAGCACTCAAAAAGAAGCAGGAGTCTTGTACACATTCAACTTTCGTCTCGTCAGTGGCTCAAGGTCGCTTAGACAGGACAGAATTTCTATCATAGACCGGCTTCTGTGCCAGTTGAAAAATAGAATGCACAAAATAAAAGAGAACAGACAAGTGACATAATATCGAGTAATAATGACTGTTACCAAGTAACTTTGAATATAGTTTGAGGGCGCGATATTTTTTTTCGGTTGTAATCACCATTTAATTTGTGTGTGAGTTAGAATACTACCCGGGTGCTCAAACCGAACTTCATGGTTTTCTTAGGGATCCACTCCCCAAACCCTTAACCTAGAAGTCTTATCCACAAGACAGTGCAACGATGTTAAGAGATGCGATGCCATGGTAGCCAGTGACCAGAAATCGGTCCATACGCCACATAATCAAAGTACTAGGACTGGATCAAAGGCACTATGATATGTTCCCGTATCCCTGAATTGATCTATAGTTTGTTTGTTTTTATCCTTGTTGCACTCCATGCACGTTATTGACTAACCAATATACTTATAAAATAATTTAAATAGATTATTTGTTGATAATTTACTTTTATGTTGAATGTTCTGTCCTCTCAACTTGCAACCATTTTTTTTATCTAAGTGCATTCTAATCAGTGATTTCATCTGATGAAATTAGTTCTCAAATGTTAGTAAGTGCTCTTAGTTGTTTTAAATATCTGCGATTTGGGATATTTATGTATCACAACTGTAAACACGCGAATTCACCGTTTGAATGTAAACGTTAATTCTGTTAACTGGGTAGTGTAATACGTTAAGAATTGTTCAGTGAATTTTTTCTTATTCAAACTAGCGTTCCATTTATGATCATTCAGTTAAAGTTAGTCTTTGTAAACAAACTAAAAGCAAAAATACCAACTATTTCTACAGCATGACTTTACTCCCTAAAGCTCTAAACGTAGTATTAAATATTCCTGGGTTTTTGCATAATGTATTCGAAAATCTACATTTCTGTAATGCATAGTTTATCAATGAAGTTTCGGTGTTTTATATTCAGCGATCTCATACTGGTGATAAATTCAATGACCAAAGAGCATAGTTTAAGGTTACGACGTAACTTAATATAAATAAATTATAAAACCCTAATTCTCGTGACTGCGATGCGCTGATGCAGTTGTTTGATTCCCACAACCTAAATTGGCGATATTTTCTCTACTATACTTTAATCAGTGTCCCATAGCAATAAATATACCATGAAAAAATGGGGAGAAAACTCAAAATGTTTAAACCATTAAAATTTGTAATTCAGACATAAATAGAACTGTAGTTTTTAACAATAACCTTTAAGAAACACTAATTTTCGTCATAGAGCAACAAAATAATTTAGTGGTAGATAGTACACTGTACACTTTTAATCGAATCGACTAATTGACAAATAGAGAAAAAAACTGACTGGATCCCCTGTTGGAATTATAATAATATAGGGAGAATGTGCCGTGCATCTGTAGCTTGTTCCGTTATCTGGATAGAAACCCAATTCATAGTTTATTAAAAGTTATGTATCTGCAAAGCAAAAGAATTCATGTGATTATGCGGAACAATCAATTGGACATGATAAAACACATGAAGAAATCACCAATGTTACCTACAAAACCTGTATTCGTCAAAAGTTGTTGCTCAAATTTATACCATGCAGAGTAAGGTTCTTTCCCATTTAGTATTCAAGGAAAAATGCATGGAACATAGTTGTAATCAGTAACAGAAACTGTTTTGATGTTGGAAAATTGATAATCGACCATGTAAACGAACTGTATTGACCTAAAATTAGTGGTTAGAAAATGGCGAATCAACTGTAATCAGATATGTTTTTGTTAGCGATATGAGTTTCTGAAGCCTGTAAACGTTGTAAGGTGGAGATACTTGTTCCGTTTGCAAGACAGCTGACCAGGGATCTCCAAACATCCCCGCTCTTATCTTTTCTTCCCAATCCACAAGTGCTATTTATTATCATCATGTCTGCCTCCGATTTGTGGCCCTACGTGCTTTTGGGTCCACATCTTTTCATTCTGCCCTGAGGACTCCAATTTGGTGCTTGACTCATAATGCGATTTGACAATTTCCATGGTACTTTATCCACCTCCAACACTTTTTCTTACCCTTTCCTCACTTGGCAATTAGTTTGTTACTTTCCAGTGTAGATTGTTGCCTATAGTCTCTGGCTAATAAGAATGGACTATCATGCGTGATCAGTTGTTTATAGATACCTGTACTTTATGATGATTGTAGTAGCTCAACAAGTTTCAGCTCTATACAGTAGAACTGTCTTGACTATTATATTGTATCTTGACTCTGATAGTTGGCTGAGAGTTGTTTTTGAGTTCTGTGTATTCTTCAATTGTGGGAATGCTGCCATTGCTTTGACGTTTCGTGCTCCCACATATGCGTTAGATCTCCCTTGTTTATCAATGATGTCGCTCAGGTACGTCAAGACCTCTATCTTTTCTAGAGCTTTGCTATGAAGTCTTGTTCGGTTGATGTTAATTGAATTGTTCTTCAGAATCTTGCTTTCCACCTTGTTAATTTTAAGGCTTACTGCTGCAGAAGCCACTGCTACATTGACTGTTTTCTGCATTTGTTTTTCTCTGTGGGATAGAAAGGCTAAGTAATCTACCAAGTTCAAGTCCTCGAGCTGTGTTCACTGTATTCAATGCTGTTCCGGAGATGTAGAAGTCTTCATAACTCAGTCAACAACCAGGAGAACGAGAAAAGGCGAGAGTATTATGCTTTATCTAGCTCCAGTTCATACTTAAAATGTATTGGTGAGCTGTTCTCAATGTATGGTTTTACAACTCAGTTCATTTTATGGTGTTTCTATGGTGGTGACGACTTTCCCAGGTACCCCATAGTATCGAAGAGAATTCCAAAAACAATCCTATCTACGCTGTCGAATGCTCTCTTATAGTCTCCATTCTTTGTTTTTTTTTACGAGATATTCTTTCCACTATTTCAGAACTTGTTCTTCCCCACCAATATTCCGGAATAGAAATTCAAGCATCTTTGCATTTACTTCTGTGTCTGGTTTAAGTACTTCAGCTGGTATGTTATCAGATCCCGCTACTTTCCCACTCCCGTGTCTTCTTTTCCTTTTAGCAGATCTTGTAATGCTTGTAACTTGTTGCAGAGCGCTATGTTGAATTCACTGATTTATTTTAACACATAGATATTGGAGGAAATAAATACGTATGCGCCACACAGATCTCATTCGATATGTGTGAGAGCCGTGATACTGTCCGGGTGCCCAAACCGAAGCAGGTGGTTTTCTTAGGGGGCCACACCCGCAGTCTTCGACCTGAAGGTCTGATCCACAAGGCAGTGAAGCAACGTAAGTAGATGCAGTCCCATGGTAGCCAGTGACTAACGATTGGTTCATACTCCATTTGTTCCTTCAGGATACTGGAGCCCATGTGCACCATTGGTTTGGAATCAGGGTTTTTCAGCTCCCCTATGTGGACTCTCCATGTTCACCAACCCGGTTGAGGCACCGGACATTCGCTTTTCGTCCTCGATTTCGTAAACAACACCCCTGCCACGAAAAGGCAGTGAGTAGGACTTCCCTGTCAGAGGCTGTATACGCGTGGCCATGTGAGAGTATTTCAAGAGGGAGAGCGGACTCTCCCCAATTTCGGCCATACCAGGGCATTCGGGGTTGTCAATATATCAAAGGAAGGCTATGTTAAACTTCCGCAGTGCTACTTGTCTCATTTTCTAATGCTTCTGCAGCTTGGCCTTCATCAGGTAGTGATCTGAAGCTATGTTAACTCCTTTCCTTGTTGTTACGTCTTCCATGATGTAATCAGGTCAACCTATCTATATTTTAGTATGTGTTTGTGGGCGAGGGCCGTGCCATCTATAGCTGTTTTATTGCAAGAATAGGGATTTATCGATCGCTTACCATTCTCATTATTTTCTCTTACTCTATGTTGCCCTATGGTGCATTTATTCTCAGTGTTATCAATTCCGATTTTGACGTTCAAGTCTTCCATCAAGATGACTAGGCGTTTCCTTAGGATAGACTCTTATAAATGTGATTTTCATCATGGCTGTTACCGTTAATGGGAACGTAGCTCTGGATGACATACATTGTAGTTTCTTCTTTTGTTTAGAAGGACGTTTTGAGGATCCTGGAACCATAGGTTTCTCATCCTGTAAGCGATATTCGTACTTCGTTGGAAAGCATCAGTACAACCCCTTATGTAGGTCAAGCACTTCCTTCCTCATGACCAAAACACAACAGCAGCTCCCATGAAGTTAATCTTTTTTAGATTGTGTACAATGGGTTCCGCTTATTCTTATCACAACCGGGTAGAATCCTCTCACTTTTTCTCTCTACTTGAATAACCTTCCAGGTTCTTCTACATTGTCCGGACACTCCATGTACCTATTTGTATTGCTATCACTATGAGACCTCATAAATCTTCTATATGAAGACCCTTAACTCTCAGGACCGAGTTTAAATGGATTAATTGGTTTATTCTGGTTAGCATTCTTCACTGAGCTTCTTTTTCCCTAGATAATATCGCTAATCCTGGCCCCAACCCTCCTTGATTATTGGGGCTTGAGACCAGCATCAACCTTAGAGTGCTGCAGACGGAGTTACTTATAACCATTATTTGTTGTTAACTTAATACCAAGATCATTATTTCGACGTTTATCAAAATCTGAGAAAATAATTTTATGCAAGGATAAGCTCAGTCGGACATGTTTCGTTTTCTAGTTATTTTGGACTATTCATCCCATTAATCTATCATTATAAGTTTTTAATTGAAATCAAACGCAGATGATATAACGTGATTCATACATTTCTGCTTCTTGCACTACAGTGAAAAGTATATGAAATGTTTTGTTTCTTTATTGTTTAGTTATGGCATCATCGACAGTGGGTTGTCGAAAAATTATCACAACAGAATCAAAATAACTCCAACTTTATAACACATCTTAGTTCAGAGGAATTAGATTTTGTTGGGTCTGTCATTTCAGATGATCCTAAAAATTATCATGCTTGGCAACACCGTCGGTGGATTGTAACTTTTTTCAATGTGCCTGTTAAAACAGAGTTAGCATTCACCGAACAAACGCTTTCCAGTGACGTTTATAATAATTCGGCTTGGAATCATCGTTACTATATTGTCATGTGTGACGAAGGTTTATCATCTACCGTTCTTCAGCGTGTATGTTAAACAGTATGCCATTTCCTGGGTTTTTGCTATTGGAGTGATTTTTCTAAATTAAAATTATGAAGGTTCTTTGATCTAGCTTACGATAATTTAAAACAGTTCAAATGTACGTCCAAAACTATCGAAAATTGTTGCCATTAATAAGGATTAATGGTAGTGAACGGTAATTGCTGATATTTACAAGACTTTAGCATTTCAGTTTTTATGTGAACTTATTATGCACTTTTTTACGGGAGATACATATTCAAGCTTACTCCTATGTCTTAATAAGTAAGACGTACTGGAACTCTCAGTTGACTGGATTTATAGCAAGATCTGGGTGACTTGGAGTCTTGAAGTCATTTACATTGTTAACTGTACGTTTGTGGATACATTCAGTGAGAAGAATGTAATCGAACTCCAACTCTAAGCATTACTAATTCGTATCAAAATTGACTTTATTTTTTTAAGAAACAGCTCGTAGTAGCTCTAGCTAAATATTTACTACATTATCCAAAGGCGATTATTATGACTTTTAGCAACACTTGTAAATTGCTAGTAGTAACAAGAAACAAGCGTGACGGAAAGCGATTGCTTATATCAAATATCTAGTTACAGTAATCCTAGATATTACTCTGCTGATTTTTGAACCTTGTAAATTGAATTTCTTGGTAAGGGTGTGTTCTCTGAGATAAGTGCCTTCCTCCTTTCAAAACGGAAATTGCAGAAGAAATGTATGTGAAGTTCTTTGTTACTCGCCATATTGAAAATTATTATTATTATTATCACTTATTTAAATGGTGTACAAATAAAATTCGTCCTGTGGAAATCTATATATATATATTTCATTTTCAGGAAATAGATTTTGTTCAAAGACGTATCTCCTTTGCTCCGAATAATGAAAGTTCATGGAATTATTTTTATGGTTTGCTAATGCCCATAGTACGTGGAAAAAAATATATTCATAATTCTTCGTGTAAACTCTTAGTTGATCAGAATTCTAATATTAAGCAAAATATTATGTCTGATCTTCAAATTATGCAGAAATTTGCAGAGGAATTGGTTGCATCTGATCAAATAGCTGGTGATTGTTTAGCACCGCTTAGTTTCTTGGTTGAAGTGTATGCTGATTGTTTAGAATCCTATTTTACTGAAAAATCGGGTAGTACGTGCGAAACACATTCTAGGTATGCATTATTTAATGTATAAATAAATTTACGGTTTTACATATGTTATTATCAGTATTTATCCACTTATTACTTCATAACAGTCTTTTGGACCTCTGTGGCTTTTCTGTTAAGACTCTTCAATTCCAACAATTCTGTCATGGATTAAAACTCAACTTTATCCAGACATATAAAATAACATCCTTCATAAAACAGTTAGCTTAGTACTAGACTATATCCATTTCCCGAAGTGCCACATTAAACAGTTATATTCGATATATGCCATTGTTGTGTGTAGTGTTAAACAGCTATTTTATTTACACAGCTTAAGACATTCTCAATAAAATGTTGCTGTCTGAACTTAGCTTTCGGCCTTTTTTCATCATAACCCTGTTGGGCTTTATTTTTAAAGCTCACATTACCTTCAGTTTAATCACTTTAGCTTATTAAGATGGAAGTGGCATAACTACAACACTTATTGTGTAAATAGTCGAAAGTGCAACTTCACCCCAAATCTTGAACTTTTTTGTTTCATTCTTATTTCTTTCCAACCAACTTAAATGGCAAGTTTGTTTCTTAAAGAACAAGCGTTCTACCTATAAGTTCGTCTGTTGTAACTATATGAGACTGATGATTGCATCCACGGTTGAATTTAAAGCGTGGTGTTCATAAACTAGGTATTCTCTATCTTTCCGTCACAGTTAGTAAATTTTTTATACAACGTGGCTACAACATGCTCTCTAGCAGCCTCAAAATGATTGAGTGACACGTGGCTTACGAAGATATGCACTAATCTTTGGAGTCCTAGAATTACCGAATATAGAGTCCAGTCTAAAGAGAAGCATACACCTAAGGTGCCTTCGGAATCCCGAAATGTTCACGTTAGTTGCTTTCTTAAATTCGCTCAGAAGACCATTTATTCTTGCCCCGCATTGATTTAAAACGCGCTAAGATACTGAATTGGCGATCTCTAACACCAGTGTAAAGATACGCAAATGACGTTGCAATGAAACGTCGCGAGAGAGGACCAATGATTAAGTATTCTGGTTTGGGATTATCTGTTCCGTTTATGATTATATACTAGTCCTTTATAGTGCACACTTGGATCAGTACCAAAAAGAAGCACCTTGAAGGTTTCTTCATGAGCAATTTTCTACTAAGAGTAGTATTTATGTATTGAGAGGGTAGTTGTCTTTTATAATGTACTTCCGGAAGTATTTAGGAATTGGAATCGCGTTTGTCGTACTGGACAGAATGTAGAAATCCAAAATACTTCTTTTAGCTCTGGCTTGATCACTGATCACCACAGTTTATCATAAAAGGCTAGTCAATTTTTGGACACTACAAAAAATTCAATTTGTCTAAGTCTATAAAATGTTTAGGTCTATAACCATTTGATTCTGAAACTATGTTCGAAGCGTTAAGGCCATTCCTATCTACTCACAGTAGGAAATAAAATAGCTAACAGTTAAGATTATTTAATTTAATTTTCAAGTCGCATCAACGTTAATGTAGTCGTGGACAAAAGTACAGAAAATATGAGATAGCAATAATTATCGAATCATCAATATAACTATGAATTCTCATAACCTGGGATTTTCGCCTACATTAAGCTGTAGATATTTTTATAGTAAAACGTTCATAAGGTATTGTTGGTTCTGCTACTTGCACCATTACTACTACTACTAATAATAATAAAATACTCGCATCATAAGCTCAGCATATCTGCCGATTCCCTTCACACTTCAACCTGGACAATCAGATCATGTAATTTAAACAGCGAAGTGGGAAATATCCGAATGTTCCCACAAGATAATTTCGTATTTTTCAATTCGATTGTTTTCTCTTTTTTTCTTATTTCACGAAGTTTTGTTGCCCACTTTAATATCTGAATTCGTTTACATGGCTTATATAACGTCGAGTAAATCCTCGGTATCTCAATAAAAAGTCCAGTTACATACGGTGTTTTAACTTGAAGTATGATGGGATAGTATTTTATTCTGTCTGATACTAATATAATCGTGGAGATGGTTTTTTGTACCAAATCACATTTTGCAGGAGTTTTGAAGTTGATAGGAATAGTTGTGGATTTGATTTCTTGTTTTCTTCTCTATATGTTCTTTTAAGATGTGTATCAAGTAAATTATTCATAAGTGAATAAAGTAAATATAGTTGTAATTTTGACCTGTTTATTTTTTTGAATTCCTCGCTATAGTCTCAATGCTGTTGGTGTGACTTCTGATGACTCGAATAATACCAGTTCTGATCCCAAAGAAATATTTGACCGAGCTGTCAATCTATGCGAACGTTTGGCCCGTGAAGTGGATCGGGTTCGAGCTAATTATTGGCAATATCGTGCTCGTCAGTTAATGTGCTTTGCTAAAAAAGTCAACCTAATTCCAGAAATCACTATACCATAAACATCTAAACTAGGTTTTACAATTTTGCATCAAAAAGTAACTTAATAAATGACGTATGTAATATTTATTTCTGCTGATTGTACTTGTTTCACGAATCATAAGCCGTCACGTACTCCTTAGGCTTCTAAATTATTTTTTACACACTAATAGAATGTCTTCACTTTTAGAGTTTGGAGTTAAGCATCTTTTTTACGACGGAAAGTAGTTTTCAGCCTTTAAAAAAGTAGTTATTAAAAAAATATAATAATTTATTAGTGTGCAGTATACATAAGGGTATATCACAGATCATTCTGAGAGCTACCAAAGTTTATGTAAAAACATTAACCTTGTGAATTCACACCTAAAATAGAATACTTAGAATATGCATACGCTTTTGACATTTAAAGGCTCAGCTTCACAAATATGTTAAGAAAGAACATACTGTTGGAGTGTATTCGCTTTTATACTGAAGTCCGATCAAAAATTATATAGACATTAAATGTTTTCAGTAGCTTACAACATACACCTTATCGATGAGCGTTTAAGGAACAAAGCACTGAAAATTACTCATGAAGCCATATAGTATCATATTATGCCTATGAATTCCAAGCAGGTTCCGAATTCATAACCTCTAAATGAGTATCATTTAAAACTGACATTCTGTGGATAGTTTTGTAAACCTGTTTTAAGCTTACTAAAGATCAAAAAATGCCGAATCTCTAAGCTGTTTGAAAATTATGGAATTCACTAGGTAATCTCTTCGAAACAATAAGGAAACTTGTGCATCATGATAATTAAAACGATATAAATGAATTTTGAAGTTCGTCAATGTATATAAGATGCTTCTTAGTTTTCTAAACAAACGGTGTTATACCAGACCAATATAAAAGAGTAATCAGATATTGAAAACTTTGTAGACGAACCACTTGAAGAAACAATAGACATCTCAGAGTAGGTACCCTAAGAACTAGAAAGATCGTAAGGTATCGTAAACTGACCAGGTAAGTGGAATAATATCTCTTAAAATTGATGAACCTCAGATGGCAGTCTCAATAATTCTATTAGCTTAACTGTTCAGAATTCTCATTAGGCAATACTACATACGTACAAAAATAATACGCTGTCAGTCCTGAGAGTTTCCGACAGTAGTCTGGTTTAGATAAATCAGACGATTGATTTAAAACTTGATATGTAAAAATTAGTATCATTAGAGGTTCAGTAATATACATTGGTCACAACGGTCGTCAGGAGTGCTACATTGATGTCCCATAGTGGAGTACAGTTATCAACAAGGTTTCGTTTGTTATAGTTTCTTTGCAGAGCATTTGTGGAATGATAAGGATATTTCTTTGATATCGTACTTAATACAGGTTATTGTATGGAAGCTGATACTACATGCCTCAGTGCAGATGCTGATATTCATAGGTGTGTTCCAACGTCTATTAAGAGAATAATTTAATAACTTATATGGAACATTTATTGTTCACTTACTCGAGACTTCTATATGTTCTATTTATTTTATTTATACAAAATTACTGGATAACGTAGTTACCAACATTTCTGTTCTTACAAACCCCACTGAATAAATGAACATTCATTTAAGATTATATACTTTTTATATTATCTTTGGGAACATACATGAACTACAGTTATATAATGAGAGATCGTACATGTAAGTTAAATACAACCCAGAGTAAGCACTCATTTACAAAACTTTGAAGAGGATACAAAAAAATACAAAGCAGGAACAAAACGGAACTCTATATAAATATAAGTTACTGTGTAAGATATAGACATTTTGATTGTATCCCAAAATCAGAATTACAACACCTTTGTGTAAGAAGCAAGGATAAAATTTGCCACCATTATTGATGGTAATACTGTCATAACGACAGTTATCTTTTAAATACAAGTAAGGCTGCCTGCAGATGGTAACAAATATATATGTATATATATATATATCGTAAAAGCTGAAGTGGGACTTCAAAGATGAGTGCAACTCTAAAGTGAAAAATAAATCGTAAAGCAAGGGAAACTACAAATGAAAGGATAACTGTATTCTGTTAGGTAGTCGAACACTGTAAGCATATGCTGTTTGAGTGCGACACCTAAACAGTCAACTGCTAAACCGAAAAACAAATGTGTTAAACAACAATTTTCACAAATACGTTAATAGATTATTTACAACAGTGGATTCTTTGAAAAATTATGATGAATAATTAACTAAATAATCGGTCGAATGAACAAAAAAGGAATAAAAACAAATAATACATACAAGAATAAGCTGAAATACACCAGTTTCATGTAAAGCATTAATTGATAGAAAAACATAACTGACAATATTATGTTAATAATTATATAGGTTCTCTAGTGTTCAATAATCATAGTGATAATGCGTACAACAAGTTTGGAGTATATAACATATATCATAATGGATAAAACAGCGTGTCTCCGTAATAACAGAAACAGTTAATAGTGTCAAAGGGACAACTGAAGTAATAATAAGAGAGTATGTTTACTAACCATTGTATAACGAACACCATTGATAATATGATGGCTATATTCAAAGAGTTTGGGAACACAGTATTAATGCTCTTTAAGAAAGAAGACTAGATCTGCGCGAATGCATCGACACTGGGAAATATAAACGCCAATGTTATCTACTATGACGAACCAATAAACAACCTGATAAAGGAATGTATAAATCGATCAAAAAACCTGAAAGATAACGTTGGATAGTATAGAACAGCGTATGGTTAGTGTTCCCGAGACTTGTTATGAGAACTGTAATGATTAGCTGAATTAGTATCTACGGAAAAAAACCATTTGAAGGAAGCAAACGATCTTGTTTATCCGAATATGAGTGATCGTTATTATCACTACTATTGCTGGTGTTTACATTCATATCCTCTCCAAAAGTGTCAGTTTCAACAGTACATCGATTTCGGGGTGGGTTTACATAAGATGTTGTTGGTAAATTTGTTGGCATCAGTTCAAGCTCAACCAATAGAGCAAAGTGGTCAGAGGGAATATGAACATGTGGACAACCAAGTATTTTCTTTTCCTGAAACCATAGTTCATATATTTGGTCTAAACTCCCCAAAAGCCGAAAATGTTGTCGCGTGTATAAGACGTAATCTATCATCCCTTTAAAATCATATCTATAAAAAACATGATTGTCAAAAAAAAAGCTAAATACTATGCACGGCGTACAGTAAACAAAATCTAAGTACTATATTATCTCCAAAATGTGGTACCTTACAACGGACCATTTGTCTTTTGCTTCAAACAATTTGGATGGGAAATTAATTACCTACTTAAATTTATTTATTCACAGGATTCTAATACTTATGCTAAGATGAAATATTCCTTCGTGAGTCATTTGTTTAGTAAAAAATATTCGATACCTGAAAGACACCCGGATTGTTAGTTATTAGCGTGGAAGAATATTCTTCTTCCTTGTTAGAAACCAAGTAAATACCACTGACAAGAGGATATCGACACTCATAATGAAGGAAATACAGAATTTTCATTCTATCACATTGATCTTAAGAGTGGATACTTCTGAATTTGATTCACAACTGATTGCTATTAATAAAGCGCTTTTATACATCGAATTACTGCTTCCAATCTCTATACATAATAAGGTGGCGTTTTTTAAACTTAATGTAGTAGGTTACTTTTATTGTCTTTACGAAACATTTATTTTGGATCCGAATAATGGGGTCTGGAGAACGGTTTTTACCGAATAAATGTTTCATCCTTTCCCTTCCTTAAGTTACACTTGTGACAGATTCAGGACATTGGCAGATACTCAAGCCATCCTTCAAGAAGAATGACCTCGATTACATTTGCCATAACCTGATTGATTGTCATCACCATCAGTCAACTAGGTTTACATTATGTGTCTCAAAGTTATAAAAAAATACTATAAAAAGAATTGTTCATTTTCGAATCCGACTTCTGGACGGGATATAAATTTATCCTGAAGGTCCCATCTTCATCCCTATCAGCATGTAGATCTATTAACGTTGAAGTGTTGTTGCGTGACAGACGCTTGATCTATTCAAGTTTCTAGAAGTGGCGTCGTACTAGAAGTATCCTCAATCGTTTTTAAATGGCGTTTACCGTAGGTCAAGTGGAAAACCCAACACCTCACTAGCTGTAGCGATATAACAGTAAAAAAGGAAATTCAGGTTAGTCATGGCGTAAAATTTTGTTCAAGGGGATATTTCCATAAAATCAGTTATTAGAAATTATTTCCATTACCATTTAATACAAAAGCATATTAGGACAGTTTTTCTAAATATTGGTTTACATAGTACTGGTTGATATGAATTAGCAAACATGTAAGGACGAAGGATTACATCAGTCCACTTATTTTAGATTAAAACAACGTAAATGTGAATAAATAACCCATACAGTTAATTAATATTTTTCTTAATCTATCTGAAAGTCGCTTTAAGAGGTTTGTATGGATTAAGAAAAGATGTCTACCTTTATTTGTGATTATTGCATGTAATGAATCTCCTTAAGACGGGATGAATACGTCAGTCAGCTACAACGTTGGACCAGACACATATATGCATCGGTCCAAGTTGCCATACCTCATTAACACAACAAGATGGACACCGGATTCATAAAAGTAGTTAATTCAGAGGTGGTAATATATAAAAGAAAGATAGCAAGAAGGATATAGTACAGGAAGAAGGAATTAGCTCATAGAAAGAAAGATATGAAGCGATTTGAATCTCTTAGATTAAGAGAAGACAAAGAGTGTATACACCAACGCCATTGTGATCGATTCTGAGCCATGTCTCCAAGAGTCTCCAACCATTGGTTACGTAGCTACAATAGCTAGATGGCGACGCAGTCACCTAAATGTGACACTAATTCCAGTCATGTAAAAAACAGTCTTGATCCGTTAATCTTCCTAATTATTCTAATTTATTTCTATTTCAATTGCCACTAGATGGACAAAGCAGCGATGAGTGAAGCAGAAAATAACGGTTTTAAATATACAGTGAGTTGGTAAAAAATGTGATACTTACGTAAAGTTTGTCAAACACATGCCCTCAGATTCTCGATATGCACGATTGAAAGCAAAGCGATGCCTTAATGTGTTGCCATCTGTAGCCCATTTCTCTAAAAGCTTCCAATCTTTGAACATATACTTATGACCATAATTGAGAAAATCACTGTGTGTCAGCGATAAGCTGCCGCTGGTCAAAAATTCCACTACACCAGATTCAGGAAGAGAATTCAAGTCACCACATAGTATAACAGGCATATTAGCCGCTGGAGAAAATGGACCTGGGACAGGTATTTTAGACGACAAAGGAACAGAGCGCGACAAGGTTGGTGATAACTGTTTTGCAGCATTTCGAGAAGTTTTGAGAAATCGGTCAATATACGCCCAAAGTTCAGCTGTCCATAAAATTGTTTGGATCACCTTTACGTCGGAATGTTCGGGATCCCAATGAATATGGCCAGTTGTTACACAAAACTGGCGTCCACCAGTACCATCTACAACCAAATAGAATTTGTTACAGTGGATAAGTGATGAGATATCGAGACATATTAAACGAATATAAACTACAAAAGCAAAGAAACACCTCGAGGAATAAGTTAACTAACAAATTAGTAGAAAATGCAACCAGTGAATCATCATTAAGATATAAAATCATTACTTCTGTACTGACAACAAAGAGTTTCACTGATAATTAAGACGATTGAATACAAACTAGAGCATCTGACAATGCGATCTGATAATTTTACCTCTATCCAATATCCTAAATGAACGAGACAGATACGCATACACCAAAAATAGGTTCGTAACTGTATGAGCAATTGTCATATGAACGAATTAAGTGATTAAATAAAGGAAGTAAATCAGGAAAGAAAAACTTTGTCATGCGACTGAAAATATAGGTAGTTTTCTCAAGATCGACAGAAGCAAACCCCGTGAAATGTAGAATTCTTAATACGAAAAATTCATTAGGTGTAATGTTCCGACAACAATAATGAATGTGATAAGTCTTGCGGATTGAACGCTATATTCGTCTCCTAAGCTATTCTGTAACCCCCAAGCTAGAACTATACAGCGACCTGAACACGAGAGAGAAGACTCAAAGTATGCGAGAAGTAGTTTAATCCAAGGTTCATTTTAATACAGAAAATACAAAGCTTCATTATATTTTAAATGTCCTTTGGTTGCTAGAAGATCCTGGAATGCTACTAAACATAGTAGCAGTGTAACAGCCAACCAATCAGACCCTCTGCATGTGACGCTTCGCCTCCTTGATATTTTTTGTCTAAGACTTCAAGTGAACACTGATTGGATGGAACGCTTCTTAGTGTTTCCTGATGCTTGCTTGTCATTTGCAAGCAATTTTCTGGATCACCCTAACAGAATGGTAACTTTTGGGATCTATTGATAGACCAGTACTAAACGTATATTTCTATTGTATAATTATTAAGTAACTAAACTAGGCATATTCATATTCCTCCTATTATAAGCTTTATTTTGACCCATAAACTATTATTATACGTTTAACCATTCTTGAGTTATACCCAGTATATTAATTACTACCTCCCTCATTCACAGCCACATCTGGCTAATTCTTGTACAAATGTTGTTTCCTATTTTATTGTTACGTTGTGGTCTGCTTGATTGGTATATAAACTCAGTATGTTTGAAATATAATGATTCATATTGTAGAGGCTGAGATTGGTGTTCTGGACTTAACTGGCTGGGCTAGGTTGAAAGCAGGACTAACCAGAACTCTAGGCTGCTCGTACGGGTTTACGCGTCATTGTTCCGATCGATAAGTCACTGCTCTCTAATCGGCGGTCACAAGTTATAACACAGAAGGAAATGACTTTTGGAAGATCTACCTAAAGTTATGTAGCAATTAATAATACCAAAACTTCATCCATCTGGATGGTATTCGACCTGTGTTGTTACTCATATTACGAAATGAACAGCATTAGTGACTTAATTGTAAGAATTTAAATCTTACCGTTGTTTTTTGTGAGGGCTGTAATTAGTGTATAGGATAATTAAATTTTCAAGTTCCACTAACATATGGGTATAAAAGCATACAATTAACGAGAATAGAAACAAAATAGATCAATTAAACTTATGGAAACAAGAAAACATTCAAGCATACCAAATGAACTCTTGGTTTCGAAAATAACACCCACAGCAACGTTGTCACGCGCCATCACACGATTAAGCATTATTGGTGTGGGATTTTCACACATACTTGTGCATGACAGCATAAATTCATGATGAAATTCATGCAGCTTTTCAAATCTGAAAAATATAAATTTAATTTATGGTTAAACTCAAGAACTTTAATCAATAATCGCATACACTAATTTTTATTAATAACGATCTACATCACAGATCGTCTGTAAACAATTTATTTATGTAACGGATTAAAATTAAAAGCATGTTCATAAATAATTTAATTATAAGGCGGGTATCTAAATTATAAAAACTGTAGCCCTTATGTAGTTGTAAGAGGTGTAAAATATGTAGTATGGAGTAGAGCTGAATTTGTATGTGTGTGAAATGTCAAGAGGTAGATATGGTTGTTTGGATAAATGCTCCTGGATGGATGGATAGTTAAGGCCTTGTTTCCTATTGAGCACAGTAGAGTTTACTAGTATTCTGGAAAGCTTCAACCGCTCGCCTTGCTATATGGTTTGTAAAACCTTTTTGAATGGTAACTTTATTAATAATAAAGATCTGATGGTTACTGAAGATAACACGTACTTCTATTGCAGATTTAATTTTGAGAACATCAAGTTCTACAGGATTATAAGGTCTTTTTGTGCAGTTTAGATGTTTTCTGGTGCGGTTCATGATAAGTCTCCGATATAAAAAACATTACACCTAGAATGTCCTAACCTGTAGACACAATCGTGTGTCGAGGTAAAAGGAAAATTTCCTTTTATTCAAACTAAAGCATATCAAGCAGTATTGATTATTTTATGAAAAGCTTCAACTGTACTTTAAGGAGTTTTTGTGGTTCTTCTATTGTACTATGTTGGTATAGTAGAACTGAAGTCAAAAATTCAATTTTCTACAGACTGGGACATTATAAATATATCACTATTTTTATGATTAACAATTTGCCCAATTTAAAATGATCAAATTAAACCTTGGTAATGATGGTGATAAAATGTACGGTATTCAAAAGATCTATAGAGAATTCCAAACAAAAATGTTGATTCATTGACAGAATTAAACTTCTTCAGTAAGCAAACAATGTGGGAAACTTAAACCACGAGCAACCAATCAACATTTTGATGAGTAGATGATTTAAATTCTCGACCAAGGAATAGTTTTTCATAACACAAAGTGAAGACAGGTAATTAAGGAATAATCGCATCATAGTAGTCATTTATTCTACATTGCTGAATCAGTAGGTTCAAAAAAATACTTTATCGATAAACATGCTGAGAGCGTGATAAACATTGTCATCACGAAATTAAGATAAACATATTAGCGGCAATTCTACAATCCATACTGCCGAAAATACCAATAAACCGGAAAATTCCACTGAATATTTCTGAATTGAAGTTTGTAAGGTTCTATCACTGCATAAATCAAGAATTCGAAACAATTTACATAGCTACCAAATAATAACTTGAAACATACTACAGCCATCTGTATTTGACCTTACCTGGACGGTACATGAAGTTAAAGATGGTCACTGGACATGATAGGTGAATAAAAATCACACAGTTAGTTATGGACTTCATGTTTGTGTTTTTGGCGAGGATATAAGTTCTTAATTTAATGAATATGGTACAGAATAGTTCAAAAAATCCGGTTACGACCCAAAACGAAATATAGAATTACATTACTGACAGTAAAGCTCACTTATTTGTCTGCCAAAATATTGCACAACCATCAACCTTTTTGCTTTCTTTTAATTCCATTGTCCGTCGTCGACTTTTCGGTAAAAATACAGCATCATAATTAAGCTTCTGCAACTCTGGCTTGAAAACTTCTTCAAACTGATCGGTTCGCAACTCCTAAGCAAAAATATTATATTCAAAATTATGATGATGAATCAAGATAGGAAGCTATACTTCTGTGTTTTGAATATATCGGGGTTATATATATTCTGCACCGAGCTTACATATATTTAAAACCAGACAGATCAATTACAACACTCAGCATCCGCACCCCATCTTTTAACAGACTACAACAGCCAAAATTTCAACTGATTAAAAATAACTTCACAATGAGTATATGTTTATGGAATTTACGAGCTATTTATATACTGTAAAACATGTAGTGAATTACGATGGATACAAACATTGAGATACAATTCCCTAGTGTTTTTTTGAAGGAACCGAAAAAACGTGTCACTATAAACTTAATCTAAGTAAGCAGGATAGAATGCAGTTAACTAACCTGTAGACATATAATATTTGCATGATATATACGTATTTCATCAAGAATAGCTCTTCTCCGATAGTCCCAGTTTAAAGCCCATGAGGGACAGTATGGATACATAACTGGAGTTGCATAATTTGGACTAAGTAGGTTGTAACACATAAGTGTAAACGCAACTAAATAAAAAAATTAAGGTAAATTAACTTCACTTGAGTTGCATTAAGATAATGATTAACTATAATAACTATCACATTTAAAAATTAACAAATATATTACTCTTAATGACACACATCGACCACAAAGAAAAGCTTTGCATATAAAAGAAACTTATCCTGAACACTTGTGCACTGTCTCACGCGGCGTCTTTACCAAGCACGACTATGTCATCCGTAGACTTTAAATAAGTGAAGTTTCCGGGTATAAGATCAAGTCATACGATCAAGCAGTCACCTCCTACAGTATATGTGCGACAGAATAACATAAAAGTGGAAAGAGTAGGGAATTTCGATCCAGTTAATCCAAAAGCAAGTTTTCTGTAGGCTGATTTTCCATAAATAGGGATATTCCAGTAAAACGTCTTCATTAGTTTTATATACTTCTTTTAAGAAGTTCAGTGCAACCTTTAGGTTAGTAGATATGACTACAATATGGCATTGGTAAGCAGCCCTATGTCCCCAAATCAGACTATTTATAGATAACTGTCAGATTTGAAACTGGGATTAATTACTTGTGTTTGTTTTGAACCGCTAATTAAGCTTCAGATAACTGTGGAAGCTACCATTTTGGCGAAATTAACTTATTCGTGGCTGGAGCAATACGATTTGTGTCTTCATTTACAAACTAGGAGTAATAGTGACAGCAAGTAATTTGAGGCAATTGCATCTAGCACATAAACTGTAACCAAGACACTAATCAGTCTTACTGATAATACTGGGCCATTAACTATAATAAACCCTAAATACCAACCCATCAAGATCTACCGCTTTTTATAGCCCCAAGGTAACTTTTGCGTCCTTCACCTCACTAAAAGTTGGAGACTAAAAGTCAATACTACATTTATGCTATTGTTGAGTGTTGAGTAACTAAAGTGATTGGAGGCCAGTCGATACGTTACTCGGATGGTCCCTCCTTGTCATTAGACCTCCTGATTTGAAAATAAACCAGTTTCACTAAAGACCCAATTTTTAGCCATGGTAATGGACAATCTACAATTTCATCAACCAGTATCAGAGGTCAACATTTTATGACTATTCTTATCGCTGCTGATCTTTTAGTCTGTCTCCCATAGAGAAAACAGATAAGATGTGGGTATTTAATATTCATAATACAAAATAAACAGAGGTCATTGAGAAATGTTGCACAAATAAATTATATAGTTCTGATAGGCTATTACATAATTTACTAGACAGCTGTAATGCTAGCTACCAAAGAAATGTTATGATATTTGCTTAAACAATCTGATGTAAGTTCCAGTGTTTTTTAGTATCATTTTGAAAGACCATTGACTTTATAATAATACTAAGTTGATATAAGTGTATTTCCTTTGAATTAAACAGATACCAAGATTACTGCTAGGATCAAAGAGTTATAAAGAAAACTACTGGCAGGAAAAGGCTATAATATCTTTAACTTTCGGTTTTAGGCGAAGTACAGGAACCTGTAGTTGATTGATGAGTTGCATTAATCAACTCTAAACTCCTAAACTTATTTATTTATCTAAGCTAGGCAATGGAATACTTGCAAATGTATTCAAGAATATTGAACTAGATCAATCTAGCTATGCTGGAAGAATATAACAAAAATAAATTAATGTCATCCCTCAGTCAGTCAGTCAGTCAGTAACAACGTAGAACTTCGTACGTACGTACATCAGTTCGAGTTGCCACACCACATTAGCACAGAGATGCAGTGGTCGATTCAAATCCCGTAGTGGTACAGGTAGCAAGAGTATAAGCAGTAATCGGGAAGATTAGGGTTTGGAGATGTTATTTAAAGAGTATAATCCAGTGAAAGAAATTTGGAAAGAGGGAAAAAGGGACATGAAGAATTCAGAAGATTAGAGTTTGGGAGAACACAGAGAGTGGATGCACCTGCGCCATTGCGAACGATTTTGAGCCATGTCATTCAGGGTCTCTAACCATCGGTTGCTGTCATCTCGAGGATCCCAACCAGGTAGTCTACACCTACCATTTTTTTTTTTTTTTTTTTTTTTTTTTTTTTTTTTTTTTTTTTTTTTTTTTTTTTTTTTTTTTTTTTTTTTTTTTTTTTTTTTTTTTTTTTTTTTTTTTTTTTTTTTTTTTTTTTTTTTTTTTTTTTTTTTTTTTTTTTTTTTTTTTTGCCATCTCAACTGATGAAGTTTCACTACGTCATCAATTGATTTGCCATCCTTACCTAGTACCCGTTTCCTAACAACTGTGTTACTTACTCGATGGTCCCATGATATACGAGCAATGTTTCGAAGACACCTATGATCGAATACTAGTAACCTACGGATATCCTCTACTCTTACCGACCATGTTTCACTGCCACAAAGTAGGACGGAACGAACTGCTGCGCAGTAAACACGTCCTTTGGTTGATAGACGGATATCTCGCCTACGCCATAAATGACGCAAGTTGGTAAGAGCTAGTCGAGCCTTCTGTATCCGTGCTGAGATTTCGTCACACACCAGACCACAAGGGCTGATGAGACTTCCAAGATAAGTGAAGCGGTCGACACACTCAACTACTTCACTCCCTATCACTAGTTCGGGTGTCGATGTAACCCAATCCTGAAGCAACATTTTGCATTTCGAGGGAGAGAATCGCATCCCGAACATGCTTGCATTGTTGCTTAGAGTGGTCAGAAGACTCTGCATTTTGTCAGCATCTTCACCAAATAAAACTATGTCATCTGCATATTCTAAGTCAACAAGTGAACCTCCTGGTAGAAGTTCAACCGCTGTAAATTTAGATGAGGAGAGTGTTATCTCTAAAAGTACGTCAATGACAAAGTTGAACAAGAATGGGGAGAGTGGACAGCCCTGACGAACACCACTTGAGGTGATCAATTCTGATGACAGTTCGCCATAAGCTCTCACTCTACCAGTTGTGTTCGAGTAGAGAGCCTTTATAAGGTTAATGTACTTCTTTGGTACTCCTTTCAGTGACAAACACTGCCATAGAACCTCACGATCAACGGAGTCGAATGCCGCCTTAAGGTCGAGAAATACTACCATTGTGGGGCGTCTGAATGTGTGTCTCTGTTCTAGAACCTGACGTAGTGTGAATATCTGATCTATACAACCACGTCCAGGTCGAAAACCAGCCTGGTTTTCTCTAGTCTGCTCTTCACGAGCTTTAGTTAGGCGTCGAAGTATTATTGAGGCTAATATTTTAGACACTATATTAGTCAAACTGATTCCTCTGTGATTGTCACAAGAGGACTTTTGTCCTTTCTTATAGACTGGCACAATCAGTGATTGAGACCAGTCAGATGGGATTACGTCCAGTTCCCAAATTCTACCTAAGACCTCAGTTAATCTTGCTGCTAATACTGGACCACCATCCTTAAAAATCTCAGGAGTAAACCTGTCAGGGCCTGCTGCTCTCCCTCGTTTCAGATTTCCTATGGCTTTTTCAACTTCGTAAAGGGACGGAGGACTTACATTAACTTGCCATTCAGGTTGACTGGAGATCGTGGGAAACCGAAGTGTGGCTGAAGGCCAGTTGAACTGATCCCTAAAGTGTTCTGCCCATCGATCCAATCTCCTGGATTGAGAATGAATAATATGTCCGTCTTTCTCTGAGATTGTTTCGCTAACGGTCGGGTTCCTAATTCCGGTTTCCTTAACGAGTCTAAACAATTGTCTGCTATTACCTATTGCCGCTGCCTTTTCCATCTCTCTTGCTTTCGCTGCCCACCACTGTTCACGATCATTGCGCAGACTTCTTGTCAGCTTGCGCTTAAGCTGACTCCGCTCTTCATTATGTTCAGAGCCAGGTGGAATGAGTTTTCGAGCATCTATCAGTGCGATAGATGCTGCTGAGATCCAGTGTTGCTCCCTAACTTTACGGTTTACCTTACTAGCAGATATCACTGCTGTTTCCACAGCTTTTCGGATATCGTTCCATGCTGCCTCGGGGTGGGCATCACATACATGGCTGCCTAACTGTTTTCCTAGTTGTTCCTGAAATATATTCTTAGCTTGACTATCATTAAGTAGGGCCCTAAGAGGTTTCCTTGCAGGATCTTTCCTACGTCCAGTAAGACGCAAGCAAATACGCGCTCGCACTAGAGCATGATCTGAGTCTAGGCATGTGCTCCAGAATGAGCGACAGTCTTCTATCGAGCCCCTCCATCGGTGGCTGATAGCGATGTGATTTATTTGGGTCCAACGTTGGGACGAATTAGGGGGTCGCCATGTTAAAAGATGTTTTTCCTTATGCTTAAAGTTAGTATTTACAAGGAACAGGCGGTTATCTGAGCATAGCTGCAACAGACGGTCGCCATTATCTGTTCTTTGAGCCCCGACACCATACGATCCACCTAGGTGTCTTTCCTTATCGCTTAGTTTACCTACTTGAGCATTAAAGTCACCGGCCACTATTACTACATCCGAGCGCTTAGCTTTTCGGAGAAGGTCCGAAAGCTTTCTGTAAAACTCATCTTTTACATCATCTGAGCTGCAGTCAGTGGGAGAATAGGCAGAGACGACGAAGAGGCAACGACGAGTGTCCCTATCTTTCCGGATTCTTACTGTTCCGTTCAGTCGGACAGCGCACAAACGACTGTCTACTGGGATCCACTCTAAGAGAGCTAGTTCTGCCCTAGGACTCAATGCTATACCTACGCCGGCGAGGCCACGGGAAGCAGAATCAGGGCTTCCAGATACACGAAGCGTAAATCGAGTCGGTTCTTTATTTTGGCATGGTGAGGTCAAATGAATGACGCTACTCGGATCTTGTATGCGCGTTTCGGAGACGCAGCACACATCGATGGCGCGAGATTCTAAAGTCCTAGCTAAGGAAGCCTGCTGTCCTATTTGGCACAGTGTTCGTACGTTAAAAGCTCCTACGTGTAGTTTAGAGCGTGGTTTCAGGAGACCAGGAATGGCGTTCCACGTACTCGAATCGTTTGCCCTAGCGGTGCGAGGTGATAAAGAGACGTGAGGAGGGTTAGTCGGGAGGATAAGAGAGGTATTAGGAGGTGTAGGAAGGATTTGAATGTGACCACCTTGGTCTCTTGTGCTGTTACGGGTATGAGGGCTGATGTCACTTCCCGGCTGCCCACACCGTGGAAGGGTATTTCTTGATGAACCTGAAAAGGAAATTGGATTAGTGTTGGTCTTGACGACCTGGGAGCGTGACCGCAGAGCCCAAGGGACAACTGCTTGAGGCCGGTCGCGCACGGCCTTTTTGTGGAAGGTTTTTGACGTGTTAGCTCCGTTCTTCAAGGGGCCTTACCGCCGGAGACGGAAATCCGTGAGGTAAGGTGAGGTGTGCATTTTTAGGGTCGACCTTTTCTAACCCCACCCCTCCTTGTGGGAAGGCAGCATCGCTGTCATGCTGGTTGTCCGAGGGAAACACCTTACTGCTGTCACACCTCTCTACAGTCAGCAGTACGACTTCGCCCTCAGACCTTGAGTTGCTGCTTTTAGTCTTACCGTTCGCCAATCGACCTGCCTGGCATGGTAGAACCTGCAGGAACATATGTTCCAGCCAATATAGCTCGGTTGGGTCATCACGATAGGCAAGCCCGACCACCGCGTCAAGGTAGCAGCTTCGATCGTGATAATAAAAATGTACACTAAGGTAGAACTGAATGGCTTTACAGAATATTATTATTGTAACCAGAAAAACATAAATAAGCACAAGTTCTGAAACAAACAATATGATACTTTAAATAACATTCGTAAAAACTCACAGCCATCTTTGTTTGGTTCAGCTAATCGTCTCCATTGTCTTGGAGGTGGTGAGCTATGAACATCTAAGATATATAAAGACAATTTTTTATAGTTTAGAATGTTTGATTTACAATTTCAAAAACGAGCGTATTATGAAAACCAATGAAGTTCTATTTATCTGATTAAACGAGCGTATATAATAGAAACAAATTGATAGACACAATGAAAGTATATGAGGTGTAAACTACGCATAAATTTTTAGCTAATTACCATCGAACTTCTGTTTGTATGGTGAAGAATAAGGTTTATTTTCACATCCTCAAAACTTGGAGTTTAGAAAAGACAAATGTGTTCACAATTTAAGTCAACATGCTTCTGAATCAAATCTAGCTTATCTTTTAAAAGTGAGCTACTTTTATCTATTCCTCAACACAAGATGGTTACTAGTGCTCTTATTATCATTACAATGAGCTGCATTTTCATCCATGACCTTGAGATAAACTAGCTATGTATCTTTCACATGTTGAAGGCAATTTTAGGACCACTGTAATGAAATTGGTTATGCATAACAGCTACTAGCAAAAGGAGTTTCTTAAATTACATGACCCCATTGCTTACAGACAAAAGTGACTAGACGACGTACCAGTGAAGTATTACAAGAGCACAATAGGATAAGTATATAAAAATCTAAGTTTAGTCATATTTCTAATGTATACAAGTAGCACTGATGTATACCTATTCCTGAAAAAAAAATCTTTATATTAAAAAAATGTAAATTGTTACCCTCAGCCCTGAAAAGAAGCATACCATTTCATAAAACTTATTGTTTTTAAAACCTTAAACTCACCCGTACAAACGGAACCTAAACACTATTTGGTAAGCTAGAAATTTAAGTACAAAGCGTTGAGTGGACATATTTTCTGCTAGTTTGTAGACTATATTTGATGACGAATTTTACGAACATTTATTCTGATGACTTTCAGCTAATCCTTCATCAATAATGACAAATATTTGGCCTTGTAGCAACTATTTACATAATTAACAAAACAGTTCAATATTAAAGAAATGATTTGAGACGGTTTTCAAGAAACAGTGTCGAAAGTAAAAAATATTGGTAAATGAGGTCTCGGAATTAGCTGAAAGGATAATAAATACCTTATGAGATAGATTTCAATAGTCGCATGTGTACTACTCCGCCAACGGTTATCAGTTTGTTAAACTTTATTTAATCTTGAGGTATGATATATGTGATGCTTTAGGTCATACATATAAGGCAAAATAAATTAAAAACCATCCCTGAGCAGTAAAAACTGAAGACCAATCACATAGCACTTGTGTCTGCTGAAAATATAATTACTTGTCCATTTATTGTATTTAAGAAGCAAACTTTGCAGTTTTAGATAGCGGAACAACGTTTGTCAAAATATAGTAGGAAATAAGTTCAAACAATGAGCCGATAGCACTTATAATTTCTCAGCTGGTCACAAGGTACAAGGTAAGTGCGTAAAGCATTATATACATCACGATTTCCGGGAAGTCGTATGGGTTCGGAAATACATACCCACTGATGTGTAGAAGATAATGATGTATTAATGCATGAGTTGAACTGTAAATGGTTTAATCTAATATTGCAAATCTTTTTTTTTATCATAGATACGAGAGAATGCACTAAAAATCCTAACTGTTGGATCACAAACCATACAGATATTTTCGTCAGTAAAAGTTTTGAACCACCCGTTCTACATGTTTTGTGGTGTGCTACGTAATTCGACATAAGTAGTATATGACGTTACTCATGAACAGAATGTCTGGTAGCAGAGACAAGAGGATCGAACAGTAACGAATGGGAACAGAATGCAATTTGTATGAAAATGCAAGAACAATGAAGTCTGAGTCATTAAGAGACAATTGATGGACATTTTGCAAATTACGTCTTTACTATTTGATTGTTAGATTTTATTAACAAGTCCTGTAATTGTGTGAAATACATTCGATTGTCCCCACTGGTGTTCTTGTTCACTACAGTACTACATAATCCGGACTTCGTATACTGTTCTGAAAGATTAACCAGCCGGATAGATCACAGACGATGTCTTGACCGCAATACGTGAAAGCTCTAGGAAACAGACTGTGGTAATTTTGGGAATAACCAGGGTATGGTAACCAAGAAATATATGACGTACATGAATTTCCGCAGAGAATGTAGTATGGATTATTGTAGTTTCTGAAGTTGCTCCATGAGCACAAATCTAGGTTTTTGTATTTCACTTTACAAGTTTTATTGAGACTTGTGGTAATTTGTGAGTTATAATGATTTAGATGAATTAACTTCTCAAAGTTCACAACTAACACTCATTTCGTTAGAGACCGGCGGCAAACGTTCAACAAGTAGAGGTACATTCTGATCTCTTACGTCAACAGTGACTCCAAAATTATCTGATGTCCAAGCTGGGTTAGGATATGCAATTGCATTAAAATATTTTGAACAGTTAGACAACTTTGAAACCTTTTTCAGAAGGATCATTTTTCTACACTACATAGCTCTATGACAATAGCATACACAAGAAGATGCACTGAAAGTTTTATCCGGACTGTGAAAATTGAAATGTGATGGGACAAGTACAAAATGTTTGACACCAGGATAATGAAAATAGCTTTGCTGATATGGACGAAAATGAAATAAGTGGTCAGAAGTCACAGTATTGAGATGTGAAGAAGGCCCTAAAGGTATGGTGTTGATATAATTGTTTATGTTCTGTCTAGTACCACTTAAACACAATGAGGGGATTTTATTGGATGCCAGAAAAACAGTTGAACTATTTGAATACAAACATTAATGAGTGCTTCGAGATCCCAGTCTTAATATCGATCAAAGACTGTGAACTTCGGAGTCTCGATGAAATCGAACAACTGTTTTTTAATGCCAGTGGACATATAGGCGTATAAGCTGATACGAGTGCGTAGGATCGATGTTTTGTTAATTCTTTAAATGCTGAAGAACTCAATAACTTCTCACTTATGTGAGGTGCGGTCATATCTTGCGTTTTATTATTTAAAAATATTGGAAGTCGTTTGAGATATTTTAGTGCATATGCTTGATATACACTTTTCCACATTCAGTGTGAAATTTGATCAAATTATACAAGGCACATATGGCATAAGTGATTTTACGACTAGGGACCAAAGTTAATGCCTCTTCATAACAGATGTATACAGCAATATCCCTTTAAAGAGTTTAAGTTTTCGATGAGTTTTAATTGCCAAAGGCCACCACTTTGTGTTAGACATACGGTTGTAGGAAAGTAAGAACGTTCTCAATAGATGAGAAAAACTGCTATGATGAGTAGTAATTTCGCTTCCCTGAATTCGTAAATAAAACATTTCCTTTTGGTTGATGAATAATTAAATCGAAAATTCCGGTGGTAGCAGTTCCACAGCATTGATTCCGAATTATCAATAATAGAAGTTTATTCAGAAATGGGTCATTTCAATAGAAAATTGATAAGTTGATTATAAGCAGATATAGATGCAATAAATCAGTCCCTCGAACACTTCTTGGTAAACTAAGAACTAACCAATATTTACCTAACAGGTGAAAAATAATTGCGATTCAGTATAAACGACAGTTAAGCATGTAGTATGGCAATACTTGATATAGTATACCGTGTAGACACTAGTTTCATGATTTATGACTTGAAAATTGCATCCAGAGAGCATGCATTGAATTTGGTTTGAAGCACGATCACTTAGTAAACTTAAAATCATCAAAGAGAGTAATTCTCTCTCAAAAGAATATGAAAAATTTTCGTCACATATGGTCGGAGCGTTGTAAAAAATCTCAAATGCAATATGTCCTGTTAAGAAACAATCCTTTATTCATCAAAATAATTTTCTTTCTTTAAGTATAGATTTAGAAAAATGTTACAGGAAAGCGAAATTCAAATGCATTCAGATAAAGTTTCGATTAATTGAACATGTAATTTACGTGATGAGATTGTTAATTTTAATGTGATAAAACAGGATATCACTACCGCTGTTACAAGAAAGCACTTTTCATCCCAAATGACATTGTTGCAGTAAACTATGAATACCTCTGCCATGTTTTATGAAAATTAGATAAAAGTAACAAGAACGGTAAATCATCTGTAGGTTGTATCCACAATGTGGACTACAATAGCTATCATCCACAAGCTTACAATTTTCAACAGGAAGATTTACGTTATTAAAAGAATAACGGTCACGTAATGCGATCCATAAATAACTGAAAACTGAAGCATTAATCGATATTTTATATGAAAATAAAGTTCATGGAACGATAAGTGAAGCTGCTGACTTATGTTTGTTTTTCTATCATTAAGCATCTGTCCGTCCTACCTTTGAATAAACAAGCAGTCTGGTTGAAAATATCTAGAACAAATCATGTTATCCAAACAAAAAGAGAAAATGAAACAGACAGCAATTCAAATCACTTAAACTAACGTTCTCACGATAAGGTTATAGGGGATGGACAAAGGAGAGTCGAGCTTAGTGACCTTCAAATAAAAAACAAATACACAAGAAATTTTTTGGAAAACCTAGGAATAGTTTACGATACGACACTAGTAAAGATTATGTTTTACACAAACCTATTAACGTAACACAACAGCATAAATTCAACCACTTCATTTAATTATTCTTCGGGTTGCTGCTTCATTGGGGAAAACGACTAATCTGAAAAGTTCCTATCACTAACTGATATTTTTTGAATACACACTAAAAGTTGGGATGTTATAAACAGTAGCAGAATGATTCAAGATACAACACTCTTGTAACCTATAATTAATATTTTGTTTTTCCACGTTTAAATAAGGAAAAAGTGTCTACTAATCAAAAGTTACATATCATATAGAAGAGGTTATTCGTAACAAAGCGTAAAATAAGAATCTTGACAGGGGCTACTATAATATAGTTTTCCCATCTGTTGATGGTAATTTACCAGGAGCACGATAATAAAAAAATAACCTCATTTCAGCTGTTTCAATCATGTGATGCATGTAATGCTAAACTGATTAGTAATTTGACACTATTTTTCTCTGTAATCACTTTAGGCAGCATTGATCAGTTCCAATCAGTATATTATTCTAGTCATACGATCTCACTGAACTTCATGGGGACCTTGGGGATTAAGAACACTTGTGATGAGCTGATGTCTATTTAACTGTATGAATAGTTTTCCTCTACTTTGTACCACTTTTCCAATACTTTCCTACAAACGGCTTTCATTGAAATCGTCTTTTTGAAGAAACCCTAATCAATTGAAGGTGAGAAATGATGGCGGCCCAGTGTGTATTGAAATCAGGAATGATTAGTCATGAACTTAATCTCATTTCTTTCAGTTTGTATATAAATTAATATAACTGTTGTTAGTCAATAAACAGGAGAAATCTCTCGAAATGACTTTTAAGAGTAACTTAGTATACAAAGCAATAGTCAGATTCACGTCAAATTAAAGGAGGGAGATATAAGAATCAGACATTGGGATAAAAAAGAATAACTATTCAGAAACCCAATCTAACTTAAACAATAGGTAAGTTACATTCTGTTATTGTCAAACATTGCTGCAAACACGCATTCTTAAACAGTATGGTACTTACAGATACTAACCGCAATTATGCTTAAATTATCAAAAGTATAGCAATAGAAAAATAATAATGAGATATTGTTTGGCAGTATGAGAATGAATTTAGTTACAAAATTGGTTAACTAACTGTAAAGATAAAAATAATCCATATAATATCGAATCATGCGTCGGATATTCGAGTCAGAACCATCACCATACATTGAACTAACTTCAGCACTCAATGGATTATCATTTAAATCTAGATGAAAAATAATATGCACGAAAGATAACCAATATACGTTTAAGATAACAAAAGAAAATAATAGTGATAGGTAAACACGTAGCAGTATGAAAAAAGGACAACGATGAAAAGTTTTAAAGAAAAGTGACATTTACGGACGATAAAGAACGAAGCTGAGATTGACACGTGAGAGTTAATAGAATCATAGTCCTTGAAACATGATGTAGTATCTAAAAAAAAGTCACTTAACAAGTGAAGCACCAACTTTATCTTCGTAATGAATGACAATAAAACAAATGCTTGTGTTGGATTAAGACCCGTGTGATCGAGTCGTAATGATAGAAACAGTTGTGTTCTTTGATATAAGTACTGATTTATCCGCCTAGATTTCCTAGATGGGGTCAATATTTTTTCTTGACAAATAACTCAGTGGCGGTGAGATCACGACCGATATCGGTATTAAAATCCAGTACGTCGTTTTCACGCGCTCAATTGCCCGATACCCAGCGTAGAATAAGAACACAATAGGTAGATGAACATCTTTTGTATTGTTCCAGAAGTTCACTTTTGTTCAGTGTCCACCTTCTTTCAGCAATCTTAGATATGAAGGTAGAACTGTTTAGCTACAAAAAATTAGGACACTGTATTCTGCGAGATTTTACAACTCACTAAGTGGAGAACATAACACTGTTAAACGTAAATATATGCTTTCCTTAAGAAACGTCTTGAGCAACACTTAAAAATACCTAGTATGGCCCTTACATTTAATTGTAAAAGTGTTCCAAAATTGATCTACGCCGATATGCTTTTCACTTTTATAAATCTACGTATAAACGCAATGAGTAAAAATTACATATAAACAATAATTCAAGGTTACATTACAGTTTGTATCTGGTTTAAATCAACCTCCGACGTTCAATTTGCTATCGATTTGGATATACTGCACTGTGGTAAGACGTCAGCTACCAACCGATCGAGCAATACCTACCTCAACGTTTGATCTTATATACGATAGAAGTAAGTTGGAAGAAAGCTAAGGGGCCCAAACCAAGAGTTGATATTAGTCCATAAAAAAATGACTGTTGAACTGAGCCGTGTTGATAGGTGAAGACTAACTAGTTAGGATCTGCGTGATATCCTCGCTCATTGGTTAAAGACACTGGTTGGTATGGCTTAAGACTGATAGCAGTGACCCAGATCTATTCACTCTTTTATCTTTGGAATTTTGAGTTTCCATATTCCTTCATATAGACCATCTTTTCATCCCTTTCTTAACAACATTCTCAATACTCAGTCTTGTGCTCTATCAGTGATACCCATATTATTCCAACTTTTCTAATTTCATTTCGCCTTACTAAAGCCGATGCACATTTTCCCAAAGCTCTGCAGTGATTATGACTGATCATCTTTTCGATGCTCTACCAAGCTGAGTTTAGCAGACCAATAAGAATAATTATTTGACACTTTCATTAGTCTGATTTCCTTACTATACTAGACTTTTATGTACATGAATATTTATATAATCCCTTCCTAGTTATAATTGGCTAAGGCCCCAGAAAGTTTTATTTGTGAGGGTGATTGGGATAACAAAACAAATTTTGTGTTCAAGATCATTAACGTGATAGTTTGATCATACAAAAACTAAATGCAGCCATCGGAAGTACTTGGGAATAAATCAGCTTGCTTGAAATAAGCATCGAGTATCCAATGGGGTTCTCTATGTCGCCTCAACATTCTTAATTTGCACAGAAATTATATACGGTGTACAGAAATCTCCCTTTAATAACCAAGTTACTGATGTTATGAATAACTGTTGGACATACCCAAATCTGAGATTACAATAAATCGATCAGGAAACCATGAAAACTGCTCTATTTCAGTTTTATACCTGATAAGCACTTTGGGATAAACTATGCATTACTCCTCCTGACTAGACTTCAAGACTGGCCATGAAAGAGACCAACAAATAGTCGGTGGGAGCTGAAATTTAAGCAGCACTAACCAAAATACTACTGATTAAAGTTTGAAACCCGCTTAGTGGTAAGTGATAGTCTTAAATAAAAACAAAAAAACTAGAACAATTATCTCGTTATACACTGATCTATTTATTTTCTGAACTGATGTCAAAGTAGGAACATCAGAACAAAACAGCTCTCTTTAAATCACCGCATATTTTGGTACTTACTGAAATGGCGTAAATTAAGCAGTCTGCCTATTTCGGACGGTAAATCGACTATTTTGTTATCATTTAAAATAAGTGCACGCAACTCTGTAAGGTCACCGATAGTCGACGGAAGAGAATGAAGTCTGTTACAGCTAGCGTCCAAATTCACAAGGTTTACTAGGTTCCCAAGCTCTGCAGGCAATCGCTCTAAGTTATTGTTTTTGATAACCAAGGTTGTGATATATGTTAGCTGACATAACGTCCCAGAAAAGTTCTTTACAGGGCCTGTAATAAACAATGTGACAAAACAATATAATGAATAAAACAATAACCACCAGGCTAATCACATCTAAAAATTGAAGTATTTAAAAGCATCAACTGTTGGCCCACACTCACCTCAGAGGCCTTGATCTAACTTATGGTTATCCGTTCGGTTCATAAGTTACTGACACAGAATAGAAGAAACACTGACAGAAACTACTAATTATTTCAGATATAACAACCATGAAATACCCTTTTGGTGACGTTTGTGTCACTAAGGCATGACTGTTTTCGGATATTGGAAAATTAAACTACGAAAGCGTTCTAAGTACCAGGAATGTGGGGAAATACGGAGGTTTAAAAAATAACAAGTGAATGCTATAAAATGTAAGTGGATTTAACATTTAGTTCAGTTGCAAGACACAATATTAGTAAATAAAGTCACCTACTTAGACAAGCCCAGGAATAAATTAGCTTCATGTCGAACTTCACATATTACATTATGAGTAGTATGGAGAAGTGGTTTAGTGGTTAAAGCGATCGGCTTTTGACATCCTACTATATACTTTGATCTATATGGCTGGAAAATATATCGTTATGTGATAAAAACAAACTCTGGCTTAAATCTCAGTACGTAAACTATTATTTGGTGAGTTACATTGAGTGTAAGCATCATAATTCTACAAGTGCGTTCCGACCTTCGTAAGTAATTTAGAATATCAAGTAATAAAAACCTAACCTTTTGAGATTATTCGCTTATTCTACAGTAGTCAACATTCGACTGAATGCAATTTTTTGAAGATTGTTCTTAACTGCAGAAACACAATTCTAAATTTCTTTGAATCGATAAATTAGGACCTCCAGCAAAATTCGTAACCACGGGACCAACCTATGGACAGAAGGTGCATCAAGTTTATTTCAAGATCCTGAAGCAAAGTTATTGCAGTTTCTCAGTCATATCATTATTACAGCGATCCGGAAATCTTTCTAGTAGTTTGCTGTCACCAAATTGTCAATAAGGTAGATAGTATGAATCTGAATTAAAATAAGCAATCTCGAAAAGTATTGACCGAATATACTGGTGTGACGGAAAAACCAAATGTCCTCAGAGAGAAACATAAACAGGCTGGACGAACATGAGTCTTGCTAAACATTAATCGCCAACATTACAAATACATAGTTGTTAATAGCTGAAGTGCATACTGATGAATACTGTATATTATACAGCTATATACGTAAAATGATACATAGATATGAAGCTAATGCATAAGGCAATGTATTACAAGTTCGCCGGGCTTTACCGCATGAAACCGAAATTGTTTTTGTTCCTAAATATGGAAAATGTCGATACATACCCTTGTTGCCACTTAAATCACTCAACTGATAGATTGGTATCACTGCTTGTATCAACAAATGTGAACCACTGTCAAATAAATAAAATGTCCTAACCTTTCATCGTATATGTGCTTAATGAGATTAGAAATGGATCACTTTATATCTAATAGTCTTTTGAAGTACCGAAGAGTTAAAGACTTCAACAGAAGGCTAGCCACCAACTAGTTGAGACTTCCCACCTATTACCTATACTACTATCATTTTTAATCTATTGGTGTTTATGTTGTTCATTTCATCTCGCTATGTTGATGTAATATGACGAATTATGATTAACATTTGTACTGGTCTCTAGATTGTGATTGACTAACGGATATGCAACTTGAGTACGTACGGGGAAACTGGTAAATTAATATTGTTGTGAATCTCTGTCCACTTATATGAAGGATAAAATTTTAATCTACAGCGATGATCTAAGTTTATCGATTACCACTACTGAGTAAAGTGACAACGCTTTGATAATGCGTTACTTAATAATAGTGACTAAGTTATGAACATTAGTTTAAAAACTCATATATTTTTCGACCTGATGTAAAAGTTCATTAAAAGAGCATTAACGAATCACCTGTCAAATTTAGTCGGAACCAATCACTTTTTTTACCATTCTTATTTTCATCATCTGTCATAAGTCTGCTTTGCATGGTTAATTCGTTTAAACAGTTGTGCCGCTTTGAACCAAGTTCATGTTGTTGTATCATCTGAAAATAATTTCCAGAAATATGCAATAAACATCCATTTCAAATCACCAGAAGAATGGACCTGCAGTATCTTGATTGCATACTGAATATAGTTTTCTGAGACAAAAATTGGCAATGAAAAAATACGACGTAACGAAACAAGTCACTTGTTTGAGCTATGTCATATAGCTTACAGAAATAATGAAACAATACGTAGGCTTTGGTTTTTGTATGTTCAGTAGTTGGAGATTAAGGACTTTGTCAGAAGGCTTATAATGTGCAGTATTTTTCTGTGGTAGATTTAAAACACAACCTGATTTACATTCCAACATGTCCAAACAAATTAAGAATCATTTTATCTATTCAGGCCTAGGTTTTCCTTAGGATTACATAAACCCCCTGTATTTCGGTCGACCGTTGTTGCCACCTTGACGTGGTAGCCGGGCTATACTGGCTGTAACAACCGTTCCTCAAGGTCCTAAGTGCTGACAGGTCGGTTGATGAGCGGTAAGACTGAAAGCAACAAACCTAAAGTCCGAAGGCGAAATCGTACTGCTTACTCTACAAAGATGTGACGATAATAAGGTATTTCCTTCAGACAACCATCATGACAGCGATGCTGCCTTCTCACAAGGAAGGATGGGGTTTGAAAAGTCGACCCCAAAAATGCACACCTCGCTTTATCTCACGGATAACCGTCTCCGGTGGTAAGGTCTTTACAAGCACGGAACTAACACAAAAACTACACATGAAAAGGTCGTATGTGACTGACCTCAAGCGGTCGTTCCTTGGGTACTGCAGTCATGCTCTCAGGTCACTAAGACCACCTCTAATCCAATTTCCTTTTCAGGTACCTCCAGAAGAACCCTTCCACAGTGTGGGCAACCGGGAAGTGATAACCGCCCTCATACCTCTAACAGCACTTAAAGACCACTGTATTCATAATCAATCTCCCTCTTCAATTCCTATCATTCCTCCCACCTCGACTTTCAACCCCAAACTTCCTCTTTCGGCTTCCTCCTCAAGTGTCACCCTGGCCAACGATTCTAGTGCTCAAAACACTGTCCCAGGTCTACTGAAACCTCTCGCCAAACTACACATTGGAGCCTTCAACGTAAGCACCCTATGTCAAATCGCCCACTAGGCCTTCTTGACTAAAACCCTAGAACCTCGTACCATTGATGTATGCTATGTCTCTGAAACACGCATACAGGATCCTAGTGTGGCCATTCACTTGACCTCACCTCGGCAGAACGGAGAGCCGACGAGATACACCCTCAGTGTATCTGGCGACCCGATTAGTTCTCGTGGACTGACGGTCGTAGGCATAGCACTAAGTACGAGGGCGGAACAAGCACTATTAGAGTGGATTCCCGTTAACAGTTGCCTATGTGCTGTTCGGCTAAACGGCTGCGTAGGAATTTGGAAGAATAGGGACACACGTCGTTGCTTTTCCGTCGTTTCTGCCTACGCTCCCACTGACTGCAGCCTGGATGAAGTGAAAGATGGCTTTTACAGAAAGCTTTCTGAACTTCTTCAGAAAGCTAAACGCTCAGACATAGTACTCGTAGCAGGTGAATTTAATGCCCAGGTATATAGGTAGCTTAAACCAAACAGAAGGAAATTTAGATGGGTATTTTGGCTCAATGAATAGATAATGGTGATCGTCTGTTGCAACTGTGCTCAGACAATCGTTTATTTTTAGCAAGCACTAATCTAAAGCATAAGGAGAGACATAGTTTAGCATGGTGACCCCCTGCATCAAACAAACGATTGACTCAAATACACCATATAGCCATCAGTTATCGCAGGAGAGGCTCGATAGAAGACTACCGCTCGTTCTGGAGTAAATGTTTAGAGTCTGATCATGCTCTAATACGAGCACGCACTTGTTTGCGCCTCAACCGACGCGGAAAAGCCACACAAGAAGACTCATTAGAACTGAACTGAGTAACGAGAAAACCAAAAGTAGGTTCCAGGAACAACTGAGGTCACAGTTAGGTAGCACTGGAAACGAGGCTGACCCAGATGTTGCTCGGAAAGGCATACAATCAGCTGCGGAAACAGCAGTGACGTCTATTAGTGACTTAAACCACAGAGTTACAAAGAACCAGTGGATTTCTTCAAAGTCTATCACACTGATGGATTCTCGCAAACTCGTCCCATTAGGCTCTGAGCACTATGAAGAGCGAAAACAAATCAGATCTAGGTTAAGAAAAAGTCTAAGAAACGACCGTGAGCAGTGGTGGGTAATGAAAGCAAAAGAGATGGAAAAGGCGGCGACTATAGGGACCACAAGACAGCTTTACAGACTAGTAAAAGAAACTGGAACTAATAAGTCAAGTGTAAGTGAGATTATTTCGGAAAAAGACGACACTCATCTGCTCCCAGTCCAGACGTTTAGAACGATGGGCGGAACATTTCAGAGAACACTTCAACTGGCCTTCAGCTACTCTACAACTACCCTCCATTCCCAGACAGTGTGAATGGAACATTGAAGTAGGTCCCCCAACTCTTGTTGAAGTCCAAAATGCTATAGTTAATCTGAAACGAGGAAGGGCAGCTGGTCCAGATGGACTGGCTCCAGAAGTCTTTAAGGATGGTGGTCCAATTTTAGCGATTAGGTTGACTAATATTTTAGCTAAGATTTGGGAGTCAGACGATATCCTATCTAACTGGTTACAAACACTTATCGTCCCAGTATATAAGAAAGGGTCAAAATCATACTGTGACAACCATAGAGGGATTAGGTGAACTAATATAATATCTAAAATACTAGCCTCGATAATTATCAGACGCCTAACTAAGACTCGTGAACTGCAAACACGAGAGAATCAAGCTGGCTTCAGACCTGGTCGCCATTCGTCAGGTTTTAGAACACAGGCATACTTATCGGCGTTCGACAATGGTGGTCTTTCTTGACTTAAAAGCAGCATTTGACTCGGTAGACCGCGAGATTCTGTGGCAGTGTCTGTCATTGAAAGGCGTACCCCAGAAGTACATGAACCTTGTAAAGGCTCTTTACTCAAAAACTACTAGTCGAATCAAAGCTTATGGCGAACTGTCGTCTACTTTTGCAACCTCAAGTGGTGTCCGTCAAGGCTGTCCACTTTCTCCATTTCTGTTTAACTTCATCATAGACCTACTGATGGAAATAACATTCTCGTCGACTGAATTCTCGGGTAAGTAAGCTGGTGGACAGTACACAAAAGGCTATCTAACGAGATACACGGACAGTAAATGACCCCGGTTCTTTCTACTGACTAGGTGAGGTTAAATCAATAACTGTACATGGATTTCGTATGCGCGTTTAGGGGACGTAATATACATCAATAGAGTGGGATTTTAGAGTCGAAAGCGTCGACAACTTCACTTATCTTGGAAGTCTGATCAGCCCTAATGAGTTGGTGCCTGACGAAATCTCAGCACGGATTCGAAAAGCTCGTTTCGCTTTTGCCAACTTACGTCACCTATGGCGAAGACGAGATATCCGTCTATTAATTAACGGACAAGTATATTGCACAGCAGTTCGTTCCGTTCTATTTTATGGCAGCGAAACATGGCCATTGAGAGTAGAAGACACTCGTAAGCTACTAGCATTTGACCACAGATGCCTCAGAAATATTTCCCACATCTGCTGGGATCATCGGGTTAGTAATAGTGAGGTTAGATGCAGGGTATTAGGGAATGATGGTAAATCAGTTAATCAGCTTGTGAATCTTCATCGACTGAGATGGTTGGGCCACGTATCACGTATGCCTAAACACTGATTACCACGACATGCAGTGCTAACTGGTGTTGAAGATGGTTGGAAGAAAGTTAGGGGCGGTCAAACCAAAAAGCGGTATCAGTGCTTGAAGTCACTAACTTCTGGTCTGAGCCATGTTGGTAGACGCAGACTACTTTGTTGGGGTCCACGTGACTAACGTAACCAATTGTTGGAGACTCTTGGTGACATGGCTCAGGATCGATCACAATGGCGTCGGTCTGTACACTCTGTCTTCCTTTAAACTAAGAGATTAAAATAGGTTTATATCTTTCTTTCTACGTACTAAATCTTTGTTCCTATACTATATCCTTACATGCAATCTTTCTTTCATATATTACCACCACTGAATTAAATACTTCTATTAATCCGGTGTTCATCTTTTGGTAACGCGGTATGGCAACTTGGACCAATGCATATATGTGCCTGGTCATACATTGCAGCTGACTGACTGATTTCGGTCGAACATCCAGTTTGTAATAATTAATGTACACCGTAATAACAAAACCAAGTCGGTTGGATGGTTTATTAAGAAAAACAAATGCTAGAATATTTAAGGACCCAAAATAGTAATAATCAGATGAGTATGTTATCCAGTATGAGCATTCCCTGCTAATTTTCATACTACTTTGCAGTCAAGAATTGTGATAACGCGCCCTTGACAATCCTCAGGAAACATCACAAGTCTTAAGGGTCATAATACATATTGCGTGGTTTTTATCAATCCCAACACATGTAAAGTAGTAAAAGAAAAACAGTTAAATATTTCGACAGTTTTCATGGTGGCAAAACCAATTTGGTAGTCATTCATCTATCATCAATAACTAAAGGTTTATGGAGTTTGCCTGAATATTCCACGTTTGGTGGGGAAAATATTGTACACTCGTGAATATTAATACTAGACTATTTAACATGAAACAGACGAGCTAGGTTTGAACTTCTGAATGAGTTTGTTTGTATATGTGAGATTTTCATTTTTAATTACAGTAGACTCGTTATTTCACAACAATCAAGAAACTACTTCAGGCTATGTATATCTAATATCAGATAATATCTAAGATGACTTTGTGCCAGAAATGATCTCTATAGACGAATCACTGACAAATATTACCAGTTCAAATAGTATAGCTTTGGTGGGGACTACTCCCAAAGTTACGTAGCTTGCCTTGCAGTTTAAGCTAGAGAATGGTTCAAATGGTTGTGGACGGAATAGAAGAAGCTTCCACTTAACGGGTTTACGTGCCTAGTAGCAGTGGATCACCAATACTCCAAGGCAGGAACCTAGGTATATTAACTATAATAGATTAGAAAAAAAGAAATCGGTAAATCATAGTAAGATATTATCCTTAGTCCTTAAGAATAGGTCAAGTTTCCTCTTAAATGACTCCTGGGAAGTCGCTTGCACTAGTTCAGTCAGCAGCGAACCCCAGCATTTGACAACTCTTAAGGAGTAGACGCTGTGTCTACAGTCCATTCTGCTATGTTGTATCTCCAATTTCTGGATGTTACCCCTTGGATTTGTATTGGGACTGAGCTTAAGTAGGTGTTTAGGGGGATGTCCAGGAGTGTTAATGATACTGTAAGCCATTAGGTCACATCTGAGACACCTATACTCTAATGGGTAAAGGTCAAGTGATTGGAGACGCCCTTCATAAGGCTTGAATTTGAGTCCCAGAACTGATTTCGTGGCTCGCCGTTGGATACGCTCCAGAGTGTCCTTATCCTTTTGGAGTGAGGGAGGAAATACAATGTTTCCGTACTCTGAATGGGGACGAATAAAACTGTTGAAGATTGTGTGGAAAGTTTTCCTGTCAAACTGGCCAAGAATGAGCTTCAATGTTACCAGTGCAAGATTTTCTCGAAAGGCATTTTTGTCACAGAGTATGACTTCAAATCGTAGGGTACCAGCACTCCTAAATCTTTTTCAACTTGAGTTACTTCTAGAGAGGAGTTTCTTAAGTTGTAGTTGCAGTCTGAACGATGTCTCAGATGGACTACCTTACATTTTGAAGTGTTAAAGATAAGTCCGTTGTCATACGCCCAACTCTGAAGTCGAATCTGATCCTCCTGAAGTGCCTGTATATCGTCTTGGTTGCGTATCTCTCTCCAAAGTTTCACGTCGTCGGCAAAAAGTAATAAGTCTGACGATACCTGTTGTGGAAGATCTTTTATATAAATCAAAAAGAGAAGAAGTCCTAGTACTGAGCCCTGGGGGACCCCACTAGGACACTCCATAGCCTGAGAGAAAGTGAAGTTAACCCTGACCTTAAAATGTCGATTTTTTAGATATGAAGTGAGCCAATCAATTAGAGGTGATTTGATACCCAATCGTTTGAGCCTAATAATAAGACATGTGTGGCTGGACATTTTAAAAGCTTTTGAGAAGTCAAGGTAAATGAAATCAACCTTAAGCTTGCGATCAAGGATGGTTGTCCATCTGTCCACCGCAGATAGCATGTTGGTCATACAAGAATAAAACTTCCTGAAACCATACTGAAGTGAAGATAAGTTTAAGGATAATAAATAGTCGTGTATAGCGTCGCACATCACCGACTCCACAAGTTTTGGAGGTATAGAGAGAAGAGCCACCGGTCGGTAGCTTGAAGGTTCGCTGCGTCGACCTCCTTTGAAAATTGGTGTGATGTGAGCCAGCCTCCGAATTTCCGGTGGTTTGCCTCGGCTTTGCGAGTGTGAGAACATCACGTCAAGCGGTGCTGCCAGGAGTGAAGCTGCCTCCCTCAGTATAGCAGAATGAACTATAACCGGGCCAGGAGAAGTGTCTAATCTTAAGTGCTGTAGTTTCCAGACACAACAAGTCAGAGCTCAGGTTTACTTTGGAAAGTCCTGTGAAGCTTTCATCAATATAGTTGATGTGGGCCGATTGAAATGTCCGAGAGTATAGTCCAGCCAAAAGATTAGCGGCGTCGCCGTCGTTATTAATCAGACCATTAGGACCTAGCAGTTGGGAAACTCCAGTTTCGGACTGTCGAAGAGAGGCTGCATAACGGAATAAGCTTTTCGGATTGGAGATAAATTTATCGATAAGCTTTATCTGTTACTGAAGCCTGTCTTCTCTTAATGCCTTTGTGCATATGTTCCTCATATATTTGTATTGCCAGTTCGTTTGTATTCTGCCCAACATTGACTTTTGCGCTTAGTAGGCGAAGAGTGCGGCTCTTGATGATTATAGGTTGCTTGTAGCTTTTGTGGGCCATTTGAGGAACTGTTTGCTTTGTAGCAAGTGCAGTAAGAAATCCCAATGAGCATCGACATCAAGTTGAGGGTGAACATCCCAATCCACCTGTTGCAGATGTCCCTGTAAAGTTGGTACATTCTACCGTTCGAAATTCCATTGCCTGTTGTTGGTGTGATGTCTTAGCTCAGTTTTGCTGATAGAACCGAAGGCTATGACAGCGTGATCGCTTTCCCCCAGGGGAGCCAGGATTGAGAGGTAGTCAACCAGTAATTCTTCGTTTGTAAATGCCCAGTCTCAGCGCGACGGCGTCTGACTGTTTCTACAATGAGTTGCCGACTTCACATTTTCGAATAATCCCAGATCGTCAATGAGGTTGAAGAACAGAGCTTCAGTTGAGTTTGATCTAAAATATACGTACTTCCCGCGAAATTGACTCTGGGGAGATTGAAGTCCCCTAGAATCAAGAAATGGGTGAATCCGAGAGGAGCAGAGCGGGATAATCCTTCCAGCATACGATTGTCGTACTCGATGTCAGCAGTGAGTTTCCTGTAGATGACGCCAACTAGACACCTCGAGGTGGTAGACAATCTTACTGAGCACCACATGGATTCATCAAGATTGATAAACTCTTGGTTGTGGACTTGACGTACCTCCAGGCATGATCGTATGTATAAGGCTACTCCACCCCCAATTCCTGTTTTTTCTGTCGTTGCGAAACAAAGACATCCCAGGTATTGCTGGCTCCTGGTCCGATTCCTAGGCTCTTTGATGACCGGGTAGACATTCTTGGAAGTAGACTGAGCGTACAAGTAACCAGTTGATTTCCGTACAATACTTTAACGACGACACCTGGTCCTTTTTAACTCTGTTAACGTAGGTCCAATCACCAACAGAGTTTTTGGAAACCACGGAACCCGTGGTGGAACACCCAAGTCCGCTGAGGGAGTTTATAACCGTCGACGTTATGATGGTACTGAGTTGCAGCAGGTCATCACTAGTCTTATTACATATTCCATCAATAATAGCGCTGTCGACATCCCTCTTCTTGTTCTCATTGCGTGTCCTTGTTTGTCCACCCGTTTTATGACTGTCTTTTTTTCAAATTTACTAACAACTTATTCCACAGACCTAGCAATAGGACAATCATGTTACTCAGCAAATCTTCAGCATCCGCGTTGCACACGACACATATCCACTCATGATCGGACTTACTGTCTGTTGTAAACAGTCGCTGTGAGATATGTGCACGCTTTATGGAACCAACTTTTGCAGTTGTCGCACTGCATGTAGGATGTAGTGGTGGCATTGGGTCCTAACTACACTATCAAAAACCTAGGACAATAAAGGAAGGAGAAAACTACTATAAAAAACCATCCCAAGGACAAGCATTGTTTAATAGACGAGTAGTAATGACTTATTGAGCAGCTATTTTTATGCCTAAGGCTGTACTGTCGACTTTGCCAGTAATCCTATCAAAACCTTACCTGGATAACATCACAAGCAAAACTTCCGCCTTACGTTTTCACCATTTCCAATATCCAATATCATTGTGTTTGGTTTGCAGAAGCCAGATAACTTCAACGTGTCAATATATGATTCCAAGCTTTTATTTCGATCGATAGATGGTATTTTTGTGGTAAAATCATTTCGTGTATTTCTAGACGTCTTTTAAATGTTTAAATATTACACAAAGAATCAGATTGCATTGTAGCGACAAATGAATATCTAAAATAAGTGGTTTGGTGAGTCTACGGCATTGATGCTAATCTCATTAAACTTGCTAGACACACCCTACTTGAAGGTTCTCGGTCACACACCCACACCAAATCGTGATTCCGAACGCCATGCTATTCAATCTTCAGAACATCCAGCAATCTTAGATCAAACGCTTCTCAACACATTGATAACTTTCCAAATATTTTTTCAAACTCTTTCATTCTTGACTTCTGGCTCGACTTGATCGGTATCTTTCTATTATGAAGGTGCTAGTGACAAACGCACTATAAAATTCTGAATATTCATGGCATCTCTAATGGTAAGCTTAACGTGATCTGATATACCAAGTGACAAACAGGGAATATATTACCTGTTGTTACACTGTATGTCAACTTTTTTAGTTTTTGAACATCGTTGTATTATTTTTCTGTTCTCAGACGTTTTTGCGTATTTATCATTTGTTGAAGCAAACGTGCACGACGGTAGAAGCTCAAGATATTCTAAATCGACTTCATGGTTCTAAAGTGTTCTCAAAAGTTGACCTAAGAGATGTTTATCTTCAGATCTCTTTAGATCAGTCTTCATCTATTTTGACGAAAATTAACATCCCTTTTGGTCTGTTTAAATACAACTTCCTTCCGTTTGATCTAAGTTGTTATCCAGCCATATTTCAGGAAGTCATGAATAAAGTAGTTGGTGATCTTGTAGGTGTTGAAGTTTACCAAAATGATCCCATTGTCCATTGTTCTGATAAGATACTTCATGAACAGATACTTATTGCTTTGTTGCGCCGCTCAATTGAGAAGAATATTATAGTGAATCCAAATATGTATTCATTTTGTGTATCTAGTTTCGAATACGATGGATAATCAGTCGATGATTATGGCATTAGACAAGATATGTAACAACCAGCTCCAATGAAAAATGCGCCGGCTGTAAAACCTTTCACAGAACTACGTTCACTAGATGGTGCACTTCAATACTATTCCCGTCTTATTTCTAATTTTTTTTCTTTCCGTACCAATTGTTGATTCAGTCTTTTGACATCCAATTGATACAAATGGGGTGAGTGTGCAGTGACCAACTTTTATCAAGAGAAAGAAATTGGTTTGATGGAAACAATTATTATTATAACCAACTGTACCAGTGATTGTTTTACCGTACTTGGTTGTTTAACTGTACTAAAGACATCCATTATTCTTCTATTCATCCTCTCGTTGGTTGTGACCTTGCACGAACTTACGTTTGCTCAGTAACTCCGCTTGTTCTCCCTTGGTACGATCTCGGTATACTTTCGATACCACGAGATCACCAACGAATATACCAAGCTACAACCTTCAATTGATTTCTGATATTTGGTACGCAACCTTCCTGTAATGGTGGTCATAGTCAATTACGACTCGACTCCACGCCACAAGCGTAAGATCCATTTTGAATGTTTTGTGTGTGAAATTCCCTCCATGTATACACTTGAAGTTTGACCTTCGTGCATTCCCCCAATTCTTCTTTAAACACTTGACCATATCTTTCTAATACAACCCCTTTCAGATCCTTTTCCGCTGGTTTATTGGTTCGCACTACGCTGCATATGTGGTTAATGGGTGATTTGCTAATTACAGTGTTTCTATTAAATCTGGATTTAGTAAATCTAGTACTGGGTTTTCTATGAGATATAAAGTTGCACTCGTCTTCGTGTTTCCTTTCGAAACTGTACAAAAGACCTCTCCAACAATATTTAGTTTCCCTCCAGATGCATCATGAGCTTTATCAGGGATTACAATCGTGTCGACAAGAAATTCCACCGTATTTTTGCTCGTCTCATTTTTCATGGAACTGTCTCTCAAAGTGTCGCGTGAGTAATTCCAAGCCGTTGGCATATTATATGTTTACTAAATGACCTCGCTCAAAGTACACTGATTTCGTTCAAAATTTTCAAATCGTCGGATAAATATTCAGTTAATTCAGAAATTAGTCACTCTTCATCTATCACCTCATGATTTTATCTGCTTATTTATGCGCCTTACATTTACATTTGTATCCGATTCCACGAATATCAGCACTTCAAAAATAAATAAATAAACCAATTCAGTGGAATGGCGAAAAAATCCGTACAAAAAATTAAGGGAGGAGTTCATGTCAAATTTAACTACACGGATAAACTAATGAGGAACGGGACTGTTCAAGACTGCTGCGCAAATATCGAAATAAGGTCAAGTATCATTCAACCTCTATAATCTTTTGTTCAGCTCAAAGAAGAGTGGGTTACTAGTCAGTGCCTGGTTTTTCGTGTACCTTAGGTGTGTTTGTGGTATTTACAAAAGTCATTAGAACTAAGCAATGGCCTTGATTTTCTAGCTCAAACTTAAATTTTACTGCCGAAGGGCTCACTGGATCCGTTTTTATGGCAGACTACCGTACAAAATGGCGTAAGGACAGTACTATTAGGAAGACGCATTCTTCTTAAAAAATAGTTGGGATCTAGTCATCACGTTGGCAGTTACTGTATTTAGTATCTTAGAACGGTTTATATTTGGACTCATACTCTTCTACTAGCCAAGTCCATCATCACTTTGCGTAAGGGAACACCATTTCAGTTGGAATAATGGTGAGTTTGACATGTAGGGCCTGTGAAATGTCACTAAGCCCTGGCCAAATCATCCGGCAGTTGGGTCAGTGAATATCGAACCGATCGTCGATCCCTGTCAAGGTCAAGGGCGACCAACGCGCATCAGTTAATCGTACGCCACTGACTGGCCCATAAGGTGGTGGTTTTACTTTTGCTTGTGTCTACTTTAACTAATATATTTCTGTAATGACATCCTTTGCGTTGTACATTTTTCAGAGCATCTATAGTACCGTGATACATCGATGGGGAAATCTACATAAGGTGCTGACCATGAGGTGTGACTTTGACGTTAGCTGGTTCGTCACACTATTCCTGTTTAACTGTAATGGGCTCCCAATAATTCGACAAAGATCATCTACACTGGTTATCTACAGACGGATGAAATAAAATTTTAGATGATTATGATTTCATTTTAATCACGTGTAGCCACTATGAACATACAATACCACAGAACGTTCTCATATTGTGAGGCAACGGCTTGATCAGTAAAATGGTTTGTATATGCGTTGTTTTTGAATTTATTCAGAAGCCTGAAATTCAGTTCAGTTCAGTGTGTGAAATTCCCTCCATGTATACACTTGAAGTTTGTTCTCATTGATTCCTTTAGTTGTACATCGCCAGTCGTTTTGATTCCATTTGGGTTGTTAATATTTGTATATTATTATAGATTTTTAATTTTTCTTACGCCTTCAATAAGTTTCCGTGTTTCTTCCTGAACTGCATTCATGTTGTTTTACTTGATACTTAGTCTTGGCGGCAGCTATATTGATTTGTTCCTCCTTTTACCTGCGTTGCTTGTATCGACTGGAATTGTTCATTTTTGATTGTGAATTGAGGCACTCTTCCAGAATTGGAAACACTCTGTGTTATAAAGCAACCAAATATTATCTTTTGAACGAATCTGTGCGCGGTCTAACCAGACAGGACAGAAAAGCATTCATTTGTTGTGATTGATTAGATCAGTTGAATAATTATTGGTTGGATAGCTGGATGGTCATAGTTGTTTAAAACCGTCATTTTACCCAAATCCTTTTTTTGGCCTCAACTACGCAAGAGCACGTATCTAACCCACCTAGACGGCTATTCTTCAGTCCAAACCTTAATTTGTATCTTACAGTGAATAACAAGAGTCGTGCTTACGAAGTCTACTAAAGTTTCTTCAAAGTGATATGGTTCTCCGAGAATACACCCCTAGTATACATTCTGTAATTTAATAATTCCCACAATTCTGTTCTTTGCTAAGCGAATTAGTAATGAAGACGTGACAAATGTTGAGTTCACGACTGGTAACCTGTGATGTCTATCACTCTCAATACACGCGCACCACTATAATCAAAGTTTGATATTTATCCTCATAACTATGCGGTGAGACATACGTTTGAGGGATTGGAGTATATATTGGCAATGCATTGTGTTCCATACAAAGTCAGTTCGAAAATTCTCGTCATATCAAACTGCCAAATAATAGATAGCAAGACCTATTTTGGTTATTTGTACTGAAGTTAACAACAATAAAGCTTCAAATAGCAAACAAGCCTATTCGATTCAGCCTATAGTGTTTAATATGTGGCTGAAACAAATGGTTTTGCTAGTTTTCAGCACTGATGACAGTCCCACTAGACACACCCTGAAAATAACGACACTTCAAATACGGCTGTACTTAAACCTGGAGATTTGAATGACCAACAAAGCTCTGACCAGCTCTTCCACAATGTCAAGTTCTAACATTTCTCAGCAACAACATGTTTCTACGTATGCCGGAAGTCAATGGTTAACAAACTCTCGACGAGGGCCTCTTTGGACACGAATAAAGGACGCGAAAATGGGTGATGGGAATTTCTTCTTTCAACTGCTTAAAAAGATGACAATTTTGGATGCATTGACTCAGAAGCCCTAATTATTCCAGATTAATTCTGTCAATCATAGAAATATGTGTAGCGACCTACTTTTATCAAGAGAAGGAAATTGGTTTAATGGAAACAATTATTATTATAATCAACTGTACCAGTGATTGTTTTACTGTAATTGTCTGTACTAAAGACAACCATTATTCTTCTATTCTTCCTTCCGTTGGTTGTGACCTTGCACGAACTTACGTTTCCTCAGGGATTCCGCTTGTATTCCTTTGGCACCATCTCGGTATTCTTTCTAAGTCACGAGATCGCCAACAAATACATCGCGACTGCAGCCATCA